TTATTTTCTCCATTGGCATTATGGTCATAAAATGAAAATTTGTAGGAGATTTTGACTTAAATTGAAAAATAACCTTAATAAAACTATAATTTTATTTATCTTTATATAGACAGATTTTTACAGCTATTTTATTTTTCTTATATGGGTTAAAGCTAGCGATTTCTTGCGTTCAGAGACCTCTAGTGAAATTTAGTGTAGAATATTTTTTTCATTGGCATCATGCCCATCAAATGAACATTTGACGGAGATTTTGACCTAAATTGAAAATAGACCCACATTTTTTTTAAATTTATATATTCCGATTTCTAAAGCTATTTTCCCTATATATGTTAAATCTAGCGATTTCTTTCGTTCAGAGACCCCTAGTGAAATTTTATGGAGAATATTTTTTCCATTAACATCGAGCCCCTAAAAGTATGTTTGATACTCCAAAATACCATATGTTGAAAAAATTAACGAATTACCGCAAAACATTTTCTCTAACCTCAAAATTTCCCCCTGACTGACCAAGGAGGGTACCTACCACCTCTCAGTGAAAACTACATTCCCTTCTCAATGTCGTGTGTGTGTGTGCTTAATTGATTTTCACCACCTTTTTTTTAATAACTTACCCACCTTTATTACAATTTCGAAGCTACCCACATGTTGCCGCCCCTCTAAACAATAAAGGTGGCCCTAAGCAAAGTTAGTTACTCTTTGTTAATTGATAGGCAATTTAATTGCTTAAGTTTTTTTCTTTTTCGAATTATGTATTATTAAATAGTGTGATAAAATAACACTTTTTAATTATTGTTTTAAAAAGTCAAGGAAAAAAGTTGTCAAAGGAAAAAACTTTTTCCTTGAAAGGGAGAAAAGTGGAGGGTTCTTAAAAAAGACAACAACTGTTGTATTCGTAAGAGGGGGAAGAGACGACACTGAACAAAAAGTAAAGTAGCCAATAAACAATTATTTTTATGTTAGCATTTTTTCAAATAATTTTCATGATCATAAAGTGAGGTTATGCGGGAAAGTGAGGTTATGAAATGAAGATTTTCAGAAGATTCCTTTTTTTAATTTTTCCCTTTGATATTTTATAGATTTCTATTATAGCTACCGGTTTTCTTTCTTCAGTGACTTATAGTGAAATTTTGTGTGGAATATTTTTACCATTGACACACGAGCCGGAATTGTAGTATATTGGTCGAATTTGGCCCAAAATTGAAATATGTTATAAAATGAAGTCTAAAAAATTCGGCATTTTTATTCGCTTTTTCGCATACGGATTTTAGTAGTAAATATTTTGGCAACAAATTTTAGTTGTTCAGCGACCCCTAGTGAAATTTAGTGTAGAATATTTTTCCCTTCACAGCAACCCTCTGAAATTAAGTATTTCCGATAAAATTGACCAAAAATGAAAATAATACCAAAAAATACCCACAAAAATATATACTTTGTAATATAACCAAATTGTAAGCAATATTTCGAGAACATATGTAACACCTACAGTTTTTTTGTACTCGTTGACCTCTAGTGAAATTTAGAGTAGCATATGTTTTCCCTTGACAGCAACCCTATAAAATTAAGTATTCTTGGTAAAATTGACCAAAAATGAAAATAATATCAAAATTACCCACAAAAATATATATTTTGTTATATAACCAAATTTTAACCGATATCCAGAGGTTTTTTGTATTTTGTGACCTATAATAAAATTTAGTGTAGAACATATTTTCCATTGACAGCAACCCTCTAAAATTAACTATTCTGGGTGAAATCGACCAAAAATGAAAATAATACCAAAAAATGCCCCAAATAAATTTCTTCATTTATATGCCCAAATTGAACCGATATTTCCAAAACATATATAACACCTACAGTTTTTTTGTCCTCGTTGACCTCTAGTGAAATTTAGTGTAGAATATATTTTCCATTGACAGCAACTCTCGAAAATTAATTAGTCTTGGTAAAATTGACCAATAATGAAAATAATACCAAAAAATACCCCAAATAAATGTCTTCATTTATATGCCCAAATGAAGCAATATTTGCAGTTTATATAGCGATATCTAGCGATTTATTGTACTCAGCGACCTATACTAAAATTTTATTTTGAATAATTTTTCCATTGACACCAATCATGCGAAATCATGATTTATAGCAAATATTGGCCAAATGTTAAAAACAAACACAAATATGACTTATAAATAATTTATGATCAATTTTTTGCTATTATTTTGTTGTTATATATTATAGCTATGGATTTGTTTTATCCTGTGACCTATAGTGAAATTTTGCGGAGAATATTATTTCCATTGATATCACCTATCTAAAATCAAGTATAAGGGTCAATATAAAGCCAAAGTGAAAATATTCACAAAATTTGCTCCACAAATGAACTTTTTTAATATAAGCAACTTTGCCTAGAGATTTCATTGCTATATATTAGAGCTAGAGATTTCTAGTGGTCGGTGACCCATAATGAAATTTTCTGCAGAATATTTCTTTCATTGATATCATCTCTCAAATCTGAAGTTTTGTAGTCAATTTAATCCAAAATTCCAAAAAATACCAATTTATCCCCAAAAAATGTTTGACTGATAATGCCCAAATTTCCACTGCGATTTAATTGCCATCTATTAGCGCTACGAATTTCTTTTGGTCGGTGACCCATAGTGAAATTTTGTAAAGAATATTTTTTTCATTAACATTATTGCCCTAAAATGTGGTATTGTGGTACAAATTGGCCCAAAATGTAAATAAGTTACTAAATTATGTCTAACAAAATCTACGTTTATTGTTCACTTTTTGTCACAAAGATTTTATGAATAAAAATTATAGCTACCGATTTCTTTTGGTCGGTGACCCATAGTAGAATTTTCTGCAGAATATTTCTTTCATTAACATCATTGCCCTAAAATGTTGTATTGTGGTCTAAATTGGCCCAAAATGTAAATAGGTTACTAAATTATGTCTAAAAAAATCTATGTTAATTGTTCGCTTTTTGTCACAAAGGTTTTATGAATAAATATTTAGGCTACAAATTTTTGTTATTCGGTGACCCATAGTGAAATTTTCTGCAGAATATTTTTTTCATTAACATCATTGCCCTAAAATGTAGTATTGTGGTCCAAATTGTCCCAAAATTCTAATAACTTACAAAAGTAAGTTCATAATCTTATAATCATTTTCGCATTACGATTTTATTAATAAAAATTAAAGCTACCGATTTCTTTTGGTCAATGACCCATAGTGAAATTTTCTGCAGAATATTTCCTTCATTAACACTTTTATTCTAAAATTAACCGTTTCTCTACAATTTATCATTAGTTCAGAACAAAAAAGCATTTTGTGTTCAATTTCAGCAGTATAACAACAGCATTGATCAGCTGTTTTCTACTTTACACTCTCTTTCTCTCTCTCTCTCTCTATTAAGATTAATTGCCAAAGACGAAATAACTGTCATTCGTGGCTTAAAAAAATGATGCCACATTTACATTATGATTCAATAGAACTTACATTTCTATTATTTTATAGGTTATGTTAAGCATAGTTTTGAAAATGAGAAGTGAGTAAACATTTTTAGTATTTTTTTTTTATTTAAATTAATTCTTATTAGAACTAAGCATTCTTATGAAACTAATACCGTGAAGTAATTATGTTTTATTTATTTTAAGGTTAGGTTGAGACATCCTACTTTGAAGCAATTTCATTAGCTACTAAAATTGCCCAAAAAATTGTATATGGAAAGAGGGTGACATTTTTTTGTATTGTTATCCTTGAAAAAAGGATTAGCTTCTAATTTTTTGGTGTTTTATCAAATCAATTATTTATTGTTGATTATTTTGGTATTATTTAATAATTTAATGTCACTTAATCACCGCAATGAATAATACAAAAAAACTAACCCTTTTTATTTAAATTGTAACCGATTTTTTGTTGGGGTTTCCATTGCGCAACGACCGTACACTGAGAAAATTTTTAAAATGATTTATTTTATAATGTGAGGTTATGTTATTTTATAATGTAAGGTTATGTTATTAAATTGACCCAAAAATACAAATACAAAAATGATTATTGATTTTTTAATGATATAGATAAAAGTTACAGATTTCTCGTGTTCGGTGACCCATAGCGAAATTTTGTGTAGAATATTTTTTCCATTAACACCAACCCTCTAAAATTAAATAATATTAAGAAAATTGGCCCAATTTGAAAAATATACCAAAAAATACCCCTAAAAATTTTCTTCTCAATACAACCAAATTGTTTTTGCTATTTCGAATGGATTTTGTATAGTTAACGATTTCGGTTGTTCCGAGAACCATAGTGAAATTTTGTATAGAATATTTTTTCCATTGACATCAAGCCTCTAAAATTATATAATAGTAATAAAATTTACCCAATTTGAAAAATATACCCTAAAAATATTTCTTCTTCATACAACCAAATTGTTTTTGCTACTTCGAATACATTTTGTATAGCTATCGATTTCGGTTGTTCGGAAGCCCATAGAGAAATTTTGTATAGAATATTTTTTCCATTGACATCAACCCTCTAAAATTAGGTAATATTAAGAAATTTGGTCCAATTTGAAAAATATACCAAAAATACCCCAAAAATATTTCTTCTTAATACAACCAAATTGTTTTTGCTATTTCGAATGAATTTTGTATAGCTATCGATTTCGGTTGTTCGGTGGTCCATAGTGAAATTTTGTGTAGAATATTTTTTCTATTAACACCATCGTGATAAAATCAAGATTTCTTGGAGAAATTGAGTTAAGTTGAAAAGCCTTTATTTATTTTGATTTCTTTTTTAATTAATTTTTTTCAGTGTATTTATTTACAACAACAACACCCATTGCTTATAATAATTACAATAATAAAACTTTACAACTCCTCCTTTACAACGAATATAAACATAATTGTGTAAATTATCATGGGGGTTATAAAGGACCTCTGTTTGCTGCCACAGTTCTTATTCGGGAAATTGGCTTTGAAGGCAGTTAAAAAAAAACGAAAATGGTTAACCGGGAAATAGGTGGGATAATTATTGAAAATTATTTATTTTTTGAAAATTTTTTAATTTTTTTTAATTATTTTTTTTTTGTTCTCTCCATTAGCTGTGAAGCCAAAGAAAAAAGTGGCCACCAAACATGCCGTCACCTATCTCTATGGCTGTTTTCACATTATGGGCATCCATCCGGGTAAAACTAACCCCCAGCTATATATCCTCTATGCCTTGGTAATCCATACGATGACAACGATTTTTACCCCAATTTCATTTACCACCAGTTATTTCATTCGATCCGATACCGATACCTTCAATGTGGGCGTATTCCTAACCTCTGTACAGGCGGTCATCAACGTCTATGGCTGTGCTGTGAAAATGTTGCTCTTGGTCTATTACAAAAGCAAATTGGAGGCTGCCGAAAAATTAATGGACAAAATGGATGAACATTGTCGGGCCGAAGATGAGGTCCAAGAATTATATACAGTACGCAATTTGGGTAGGCGGATAGTTTTGGGTTATTGTACCGCCTATTGGATCTACACGACAATGACATATATTGCGGCCTTGATTTCGGGAGTGCCTTCGTATTCGTTGAATCTCTTTGTTATACAATGGAGACGTTCGAAATGGGAATTTTATGTGGCTTCGTTTATTGAATATATCCTGACGAGTTGGACATGTTTCCAGCAGGTGGCCAATGATTCGTATGGTACGGTATATGTTTGTATATTGCGGGCCCATGTGAGAATTCTTTTGCTGAGAATACGTAAAATGTGTTCGCAGAGCGATCAAACGGCCGAGCAAAATTTGGAGGAGCTGAAAAGTGTTATCAAGGATCACAAGGATTTGATACAGTAAATATGGAATTTTTTAAAATTTTTTTTAAATTTATTTTTTTAATTTTTTTAAAATTTTATTTTAATTTTCTATTAATTTTTTTTTATTTTTTTAATAATTTTTTTTTAATTTTTTTTTTTTTTTAATTTTTTTTTTAAAATTTTTTTTTTTTTTTTTTTTTTTTTTTTTTTTTTTTTTTTTTTTTTTATTTTTTTTTTTTTTTTTTTTTTTTTTTTTTTTTATTTTTTTTAAATTTTTTTAAAATTTAAAAATTTTTTTTTATTTTTTTTCTAAAAATTATCCTAATTTTTTTTTATTTTTCTCTCCCCCCTCCTAGGCTCTACAATGCCATCTCACCGGTCATTTCGCAAACGATTTTTCTACAATTTTCCATAACCGCCATAATATTGGGTATAACCCTAATTAATATTGCCATATTTTCGACAACAATTGCTGCTGTGGCCGCCTCCTCATTTTATGTTATCGCCGTTGTTGTGGAAATATTCCCGTTATGCTATTATGCCAATTGCCTATTGTACGATAGCGATACATTGGCAACGGAAATATTCCATTCGGCGTGGATTGATCGGGATCAACGTTATCGTAAGATGTTGATCTTTTTTATACAACGGACCCAGAAAAGTATGGAACTGTGGGCAGGGAAAATGTTTCCCATCAATTTGAATAGTTTTATAAGTGTAAGTAAGGAGAAATCTCTTAAATTAAAATCTCATTTTTCTCGTAGAGATTTAATGGTTATCTATTAGAACTAGATATTTTTGTTAGTCGCTGATCCATAGTAAAATCTTATGGAGAATATTTCTATCACTGAAAAAATTTTCCTAAAATGAAGGATTGTGGCTTAATTTGGGCCAAATTCCAAAAAGGCCAAAAAAAACCTCCAAATATGGGCATCTTAAAAATGCCCAAGTTTACCCAGAGATTTAATTATTATCGGCTAGAGTTACAGTTTTTTGTTGTTCGGCGACCCATAGTGAAATTTTATGCAGAATATTTTTTTCGTTGACACCATCAACCTAAAGTGAAGTATTGTGTTATAATTTGGGACAAATTCCATAAATACCCAAAATTAAGACCAAAAAGTGTCATATATAATATACCCAAATTTCCCTGGAGATTTAATGGTTATCCGTTGGAGCTACAGATTTTTGTTAGTCGCTGACCACAAGTGAAATTTTATGCAGAATATTTCTTCTATTGACATCCTTCCGCTAAAATGAAAAATTAAGGTAAAATTTGGACCAAAATCAAAAAAGGCCCAAATTTTACACAAAAAAAATTTATTCTTAAATATACCCAAATTTCCCCAGAGATTTAATTGTTACTTATTAGAGTTGCAGATATTTGTTGTTCGGTGACCCAAAGTGAAATTTTATGCAGAATATTTCTGCCATTAACATCATCTTCCTAAAATGAAGGATGGTGGTCTAATTTGGGCCAAATGCCAAATGCCAAAAAGACCAAAAAACCCCAAATGTGGGCATCTTAAAAATGTCCAAGTTTACCCTAAAATTTAATGGTTATCTATTAGAGCTACATGGATTTGTTGTTCGCTGACACATAGTGAAATTTTATGCAGAATAGTTCTTTCATTGACATTATCCCGCTAAAATGAAGTATTAAAGTATAATTTAGAACAAAATCAAAATAGACCAAAAAACCCTAAAGATTGTCAAATTTCCCTGGATTGCCAAATTTCCCTGGAGATTTAATGGTTATCTGTTAGAGCTACTGCGATTTGTTGTTCGGCGACCCATAGTGAAATTGTATGTAGAATATTTCTTTCATTGACATTCTTCCGCTAAATCTGAGTATTAGGGTATAATTTGGACCAATATCAAAATAGACCAAATAAAACCCTTTAAAAGATATATTTTTAAGATACCCAAAATTTACCCTGAGATTTAATGGTTATCTGTTAGAGCTACATCGATTTGTTGCTGGGGGACCCTTAGTGAAATTTTATGGAGAATATTTCCTTCACTGACATCACCCCTCTAAAGGGAAGTAATATTAAGAAAATTGGCCCAATTTGAAAAATATCCCAAAAATACCCCCAAAAATATTTCTTCTTAATATAACCAAATTGTTTTTGCTACTTCGAATTTATTTTGTATAGTTAACGATTTTTGTTGTTCGTCGACCCATAGTGCAATTTTGTATAGAATATTTCTTTCATTGAAATCAACCATGAAAAATCATGATTTTTGCATAATATTGACTAATTTAAAAAAAAATAATTAACTCTAAGCATATCGATGGCCAAATTGTTGTTGTTATTTTCGGGTTATATATTATGACCGATTTTTATTGTTCGTTGACATATAGTGAAATTTTGTATAGAACATTTTTTCCATTGCCAACAACCTTCTAAAATTAAGTAAAGTTAAGAAAATTTGCCCAATTTGAAAAATATACCAAAAAATACCCCAAAAAAAATTTCTTCTTAATACAACCAAATTGTTTTTGCTATTTCGAATGTATTTTGTATAGTTAACGATTTTTATTGTTCGGAGACCCCTAATGAAATTTTCTATAGAATATTTCTTCCATTGGTATTATCCACCAAAAATGTAGCATTGTGGTCTAATTTTACTCAAATTAAAATACCTTACAATAGAAAGTCCCAAATTGGGTAAACAATATTTTTGTATTAAAATTTTATAAAGAAATATTATAGCTAGAGATTTCGATTATACGGTGACCCATAGTGAAATTTTATGGAGAATATTTCTTTCATTGACATCATTTTACTAAAATGCTGCGTTCTATTACAATTGTCCATAAATTCAAAAAAGAATTAATATTAATTGATTGCATTTTGATCAGCATTGATCAGCTGTTTTGCTTCTCTACACACTCACACACACACTCTCTCTCTCTCCTTCTCTCTGTCTCTCAAGATGATGACACATCATTCATTTGGGTTGTTATAAACAATATCACGTTTACATTATGCTGTTTATATTCAGTGGGAATTTATAGAATAAAAATATTGAATTATTTGAAAGAAAAATCATGACATAATTTTTAATAATTAAATAATAGAGCTTTCTTTGGATTTTTAATAATTATAAGATTATTATGTATTAATTTTTTTCTTGCAGATTGCCAAATTTTCATTTTCCCTTTACACGCTAATCAAACAAATGGGCATTAAGGAGCGTTTGGATTTATAAAAAAAATATATTTAAAGAAAAAAATATATATATGTATACAATAAATTATAAATTATATGCAAATAAAATAGAATAAAAACAAACCTAAATGTTTTATTAATATTTTAATAACAAATCCTACCTTTGCATTAATTTGAGGTTATGTTGAATGTCAGTTTTTAAATTTTTTTCTTAATGTCCAAAACATTTTCAGATTAGCTAGGAAATTTTTTTCAACTTTTTAACAGTACGTATTTTTTTTTTTTTTTTTTATTTTTTTTGAGGTTACAAAGAAAACCTCCTACTTCGAAGCACCTTGAACAACTACTACAAATTGCTAGAATTTCTATTTGGTTTAAAGATTTGTTAGACATATTTAATTGTTGCTAACTTCCAAAAAGTTTTTATATTTTATTGTAAATAATTAGTTGATGTTGTTGTTGTTTTATTTTAATTACTTTAACGATTGAAAGTTAGCACCAAATTCGTTTCTTGTTTTTTTTTTTTAATTTTTAATATTAAAATAGAAAAAGAAAAACTTTTCTTTTTTAAAATAATTAGAAAAATATTTCTTGGAATGATTTGTTTTTAATTACCCAATACTGAGGGTACACTGAGAAAATTGAAAATTGCGGAGATTTTCCTTGTGAAGAATAGGAACAAAAAAAAATAACAATAGATTTTCTAAATTTACATTGAGATTTTCTAGAAAAAATATTATAGCCACAGATTTTTGCTGATCGGCGATCTATAGTGAAATTTTGTAAAGAATATTTCTTTTATTGGCATCATCCATCTAAAATGCCGTAAAGTGGTCCAAATGTGGCCTTAATTAAAACTAGAAACAATATAAATAAAAAACCGATTCTTCTTTGCTAAACCCCATTTTAGGATTAAAATTTAATTGTTATACATCGAAGCTATGGATTTCTTTTGGTCGGCGACCCATACTGAAATTTTATGTAGAATATTTTTCCCCTTGACATGATCCGCCTAAAGTGTAAAATTGTGGTCGAAATTGGCCTGTTAAAAATTTAAAAAAAATCTATTTAGATTTTATTAATAAATATTATAACTACGGATTTTTGTTGTCTACAAAAATCATCCGCCTAAAGTGCAAATTGTGCAATTTTCCCAATTTTTTTCAACTTTACATTGCAAATTTTATTAAGAAATATTATAGCTACAGATTTTTGTTGTTCGATGGCCCATAGTGAAATTTTATGCAGAATATTTCTCTCATTGGCATCCTTCCGCTAAAATTATGTATTAAGGTATAATTTCAAATTAAAATAGACCAAAAAAACCTAAAAAGATATATTTTTAAGATGCACAAAATGTATCCTGAGATTTAATGGTTATCTGTTAGAGCTACATCAATTTGTTGTCCGGCGATCCATAGTGAAATTTTATGGAGAATATTTCATTCATTGACATCAACCACTTAGAATGAAGTATTAAGGTATAATTTGGGCCAAATTGTCAAAATGCACAAAATCTACACAAATACTTATATTTAGTTTGATATACCCCAAATGAACATTGAGATTTTATGAGGAAATATTATTGCTACAGATTTTTGTTGTTCGGTGACTGATAGTGAAATTTTCTGTAGTTTATTTTTTCCATTGACATCAACTGCCGAAAGTGAAGCCCAATGGGAGATATTGACATCGAATGACAATCAACCCTGATAAATGGCCAATTAAGAAGCGTTTTGTTTGCTTAGTAATACGAATTTTTGCATTGAAATTTAATAGAGACATATTATTGCTATAGATTTTTTCTATTCGGGGACCTACAGTGAAATTTTGTGAGGAATAAATTTTCCATTGACATCATGCTCAAAAAGTGAAAAATTCTTGATCAATTTGGCTCCGACTTGAAATAATCATGAAATTAACCTTAAAATTGATTCTCTGTTTATATACCCTAAGTTGTTGTTGTTACATTTTTTATTAGAAAATATTATCGCTATAGTTTTGAGTAGTTCTGAGACCTATAGTGAAATTTTGTGAGGAATAAATTTTCCATTGACATCATGCCCAAAAAGGGAAATTTTCTTGATCAATTTGGATCTGAGTTGAAATAACCATGAAATTAACCTTAAAATTGATTCTCTGTTGATATACCCTAAGTTGTTGTTGCTTTTTTAGTAGAAAATAATAAAGCTACAGATTTCATTTGCTCTGAGACCTATAGTGAAATTTAGTGAGGAATACATTTTCCATTGACATTATGTTAAAAAAATTAGGAAATACGGCCCAAATTGACCTCAAATTGAAATTTGTATGAAAATAACCTAAAAAATTTTCTTTATTCATATATCACAATTTGTTGTTGCATTTTTTATTGGAAAATATTATATCTAGAGATTTCATTAGTTCTGAATCACATAGTGAAATTTGATGTAGAACATATTTGCCATTGTCATAAACTTCCTAAAATACATCCATGTGGAGGATAAACCCAATAACTACAATAAACCCATAAAAGAGAACATAATCAGGAACTTTCGTTCTTTGTATATATATCCCAATTTGTTGTTGCTTTTTTATTGCGAAATATTATAGCTACAGTTTTCATTTATTCTGAGACCTTATGTGAAATTTGATGTAGAATGTATTTTTCATTGGCATAATTAACCTAAAATGTGGCCATGTGGGAGATATTGGAAAAATCGGCAACAAACCCACAAAAATGGCAATATGGTTCTTGTTAGTTAATATACTGAATTTAATCCTAAATTTTCCTGATATATATTATAGCTACAGATTTTACTTGTTTTGATTCTCATAGTGAAATTTAGTGAGGAATACATTTTCCTTTGACATCATGCCCAAAAAATTAGAAATTCATGAACAATTTGGCCCTGATTTAATATAACTACGAAATTAACCTAACTTCTTTTCTTATTTGATATACCCTACTTTGTTGTGGCTTTTTTATTGGCAAATATTATAGCTACAGATTTTATTTGTTCGAAGACCCATAGTAAAATTTAGTGGAGAATACATTTTCCTTTGACATCATACTCAAAAAGTGAAGAATTCGGCCCTGAATTGATATAACTACGAAATTAACCTAACTTTTTTCTTTTTTGATATAACCTACTTTGTTGTTGGCTTTTTTATTGGCAAATATCATAGCTACAGATTTTATATGTTCTGAGGCACATACTGAAATTCGATGTAGAATATAGTTTCCCTTGACATGAACTCTCAAAAATGTTGTCATGTGGGAATTATGGCCCCAAAGCTGCAAACTCCAACTCCTTAATTTCTTGGCGTGTTTTTTAATTATTTTGGTGGATGTGTGTGTCAAATAATTATTCTTATAAGAAAACTTTTTGAGTTTCTTTTTTTCAGCAATTATTTTTACAAAAGTAAAAAAGAATTTACATTTGTGGGAAATTTCCTTTATTTCTCAAAAAGGCTATAAAAGCAAGCCTAACCTCAAAGTAAATGTTTCAGTTTAGTTGGCAATATTTTTCCCCCAATGGAAAAGCAAAGTACCGCGGAAGAAGCTATTGGGCTGCCACAGGAACAACTGCAACAACAACAACAAGTTGTTAAGAGCAATAAAAAATCCAAATTGAGCCATGAAAATAATTGGGGTAAAATAAAATTTTGGTTTCCATTTTTTTCTAATTTTTTTATAATTTCCACCCTTTCCTTTCAGATTTACAGGAGGACACTTCCCTACAAACCCGCCACGGCTTACGTTATCTTTATAATGGTTTTCGTTTCTTGGGTATTTATTTCCCCCAACGGGGCAAGACTTTGTATTTCGTATGGTCCCTGGTGGTGAATCTCTATGTGACCATTTTGCTGCCGACGGGTTTTATAATGGGCATCATCGATGTAACCGATGAAAATGTGGAAATTGGTAATCTCCTAACATCATTCCAGGTGGCCATAAATGTTGTGGGTTGTTCCATTAAAATTATTCTCATGTATTTCCTATTACCGCAACTGCTCAAGTGTGAACCGATATTCGAGCGTCTCGATAAACGTTGTACCAGCCGCAAAGAGAGGGATCTAATACGCCGTTTTATACACGATGGTAACCGCTTGGTGGTATGGTTTGCAATTGCCTATTGGTCGTATTCGAGTAGTACGTGTATTAGTGCTGTACTCTTTGGACGGTTACCCTATAACCTGTATAATCCATTTATTGATGCCCAGGCGTCAATGGGGAATTTTATTTTGGCGGTGCTAATGGAAATGGTGCCCATGGATATAGCATGTTTCCAACAGGTGGTGGATGATTCATATGCAGTTATTTATGTGCAAATATTAAGGACACATATGCAGGCATTGCTGATAAGATTGAAGCACTTGAATGATGAGGATGATGCCATGGAACTGGATGGATATAATGGCGACGAAGACTCGGAGGAAAGAAATGTTGAGAAATTAAAATTGTGTATCATAGATCACAAAAATATTATTGAGTAAGTTCCAAAAAATCCATTACTTATTTTAATTGTAATACTCTCTTTCCCTCCCCTTACCCCCAGACTCTACGAACGTGTGGCCCCGGTAATTTCTATTACCATTTTTGTACAATTCACCATAACGGCCAGCCTATTGGGTTCAACCCTAATAAACATACTGATCTTTGCCACCAATACAGCTTCCATAGTGGCCTCTTGTTTCTATGTCCTGGCCGTGGTGGTGGAAGTATTCCCGCTGTGCTACTATGCCCAGTGTCTAATGGAAGAAAATAATCGCCTAAGCAATGCCATATTCCATTCGAATTGGATCTATCAAAGTAAACGTTATCGTAAAATGTTAATATTTTTTATGCAACGGTCCCAAAAGGTTATCGAATTTACAGCCGGGAAATTATTTCCCATTACCTTGAGTAGTTTTTTGAGTGTGAGTGCAAAAAAAACCGGGTAAACATTTGTTCATCATTTCTTTCTCTTTACAGATTGCCAAATTTTCATTTTCTTTATATACCCTGATAAAGGAAATGGATTTGAAGGAACGTTATGGTTTGAATTAATATTGGAAAACTTGGAAAATAAATATATAATTTATTCTGAATATGTGATCGATAAAAATATCGAATAAATCAATAAAAAAATAACTCAATACGAAATCATAACCCATAAAATACCTATATTTACATTAAAATTTATTATTAAATATGATAGCTAGAGATTTTGTTTGTTCGGAGACCCTTAGTGAAATTCGATGTACAATATTTGTGTCATTGACATTATCTACCAAAAATGAGGCTATGTGGCAGATATGGGCATTGAACTGCAACAAACCCGTAAAAAGAGGCAGTAAGACTGTTTTTATAAATAAAATTTAAAATTAAATTATTTTTTGATAAATATTATAGCTAGAGATTTCTTTTCTTTGAAGACCCTTAGTGAAATTCGATGTAGAATATATGTGTCATTGACATAATCGCCCAAAAATGCAGCTATACGGCAGATATGGGCAATGAGCTGTAACAAGCCCTTAAATACCTCAATCGATTTATTTTCCTTTTATACCAATTTTATATTAAAAATTTTCTTGATAAATATTATAGCTAGGGACTTCTTTTGTTCGAAGACCCATAGTGAAATTGCATGTAGAATATATCTGTCATTGACATTATCTACCAAAAATTAGGCTATGTGGCAGATATGGGCAATGCAATGCAACAAGCCCCAAAATACATCAATCGATTTATTTTCCTTTTATACCAATTTTATATTAAAAATTTTTGTTGATAAATATTTTAAGATAAATATTATAGCTAGGGACTTCTTTTGCTCCAAGACCCACAGTGAAATTTTGTGAAGAATAACTTTTCCATTGACATCACCTTCAAAAAATGAAGAATTTGTGCTAATTTTGGCCTCAACATGAAATATGTTCGAAATTAACCTCAAAATCTTTCTTTGTTGATATAACTAATTTTCAAATTTAAATTTCATTGCGAATTATTATAGCTACAGATTTGTTTTGTTCAGAGACCTATATTGACATATTGTGAAGAATATAATTTCCATTGACAGCATTTCGCTAAAATGTACCTAAATGGGAAATATTGCCAAATAGCGAAAATAAACCCCACAAAAGTTACAATAAGACTATTGTACGTTAATAAACTAAATTTAACATCAACATTTCACTGATAAACACTATAGCTAGAGATTTCTTTTGTTCAAAGACCCATAGTGAAATGTTGTGAAGAATATTTTTTCCATTGACAACACCTTCAAGAAATGAAGAATTTGTGCTAATTTTGGCCTCAACATGAAATAAGTTCGTAGTTAACCTCAAAATATTACTTTGTTGATATAACTAATTTTCAAATTTAAATTTCATTGCGAATTATTATAGCTACAGATTTCCTTTGTTCTGGGACTAATAGTGAAATTTGATGAAGAATAAAATTTCCATTGACAGCATCTCTCTAAAATGTACCTAAATGGGAAATATTGCCAAATAGCGAAATTAAACCCCACAAAAGGTACGATAAGGCTATTGTTAGTTAATAAACGTAATTTAACAACAAAATTTCACTGATAAATATTATAGCTAGAGATTTCATATGTTCGGCGGACCATAGTGAAATTTTGTGAAGAATAATTTTTCCATTGACATCACCTTTAAAAAATGAAGAATTGTTGGACAATTTGGCCTCAACTTAAAATAAGTGCATACATAACCTAAACATTTTTGGTTATGGTTTATATATCCCAATTTGTTGTTGTTTTTTTATTATGTAATATTACTGCTACCGAGTTCTTTTGTTCGATGACCTATAGCGAAATTTGATGAAGAACACAATTTCCATTGGCATCATCAATCTAAAATGAACACATATGGGAGATAATGGCAAAGAATTGCAACAACCAAAAACTATTGAGAATCTTTGGGTTTTGTACTTTTTATGTAATATAGGCTTTTTGGTTTATATTTTTAGTTAATACAGGTGTTATTATTTTGATTTTAAGTACTTTTTTTAAATTGTTCATTTAATACATGGTAAGGCATTAATTCTTTTTTCCTCTTGAAAAAAAGAAACTTTTTTATTAATATCAATTTCACACATAGTTTGCCATTGTTAATTTCTTTTAAAAATACGTGCTATGAATTAATGTCGATTTTCTCAAAATTAATAATTTGTAGAGTTATTTGTTATTCTTTTTTAATTTTAATTGCATTTGGAAATTAGCACCTTTTTTGTTTTCATTGCATTTTGATTATTGCAAAAAAAAATAGAAGAAATATAAATTCATAGAAGCAATTTTTAATTTGCTCACAACGCCTAAAAGTATACACTACGAAAATGTGCAAACAAGCAGTAGTTCCCATAGTGAAATTTGATATAGAATATATTTTTTTTACATTGACCATCATATCTTCCCAAAATTAACCCCTATGGGAGATATTGGCCCAAAACGATGACAACAACAACCCCCAACCAAGGAAAATTAATAAATTTGCCCTTTCACTATATTCAAATTCCGTATTAAGATTTCAATGATAAATATTAATGCTACAGGGATACTTTGTTCTGAGACCCATAGTGAAATTTGATGTAGAATATATCTTCCATTGATATCATCTGCAAAAAATAAAGATTTGTTAAACAAATTGGGCACAATTTGAAATAATTACCTAAATAACCTAAAAATTCTACTTTGTTGATATACCCCAACTTTGTTGTTGCTTTTTTATTGAAAAGTATTACAGCTATCGTTTTCATTTGTTCTGAGACCCATAGTGAAATTTTATAAAGAATATTTTTTTCATTGGCATCATATCCAAAAATTTAAAAATTAGTGTTCAATTTGGCCTCAACTTGAAATAATTACCTAAATAACCTAAAAAATCTTCTTTGTTGCTATACCCCAAATTTGTTGTTGCTTTTTTATTGAGAAATATTAAAGCTATCAATTTCATTTGTTCCGAGACCCATAATGAAATTTTATATAGAATTTTTTCCCTATTGGCATCATCTTCAAAAAATGAAAAATTAATGTTCAAACTGGCCTGAACTTGAAATTAATAAGTATATAAACTAAAAATGCTTCTTTATTGATATACCCTAATTTGTTGCTGCTTTTTTATTGAAAAGTATTGCTGTTTTCAATTTCATTTGTTCTGAGACCCATAGTGAAATTTTATATAGAATGTTTTTCCCATTGTCAACAAATTCAAAAAATGAAAAATTAGTGTTCAAATTAACCTCAACTTGAAATTAATATGTTTATAACCTAAAAGTGCATCTTTATTGATATACCCAAATTTGTTGCTGCTTTTTTTATTGAGAAATATTAAAGCTATCAATTTCATTTGTTCTGAGACCCATAATGAAATTTTATATAGAAAAAATTTTCCATTGCCATCATCTTCAAAAAATGAAAAATTAATGTTCCAATTGGCCTCAACGGAAATAATTACCTAAATAACCTAAAAATTCTACTTTGTTGATATACCCCAACTTTGTTGTTGCTTTTTTTTTTTGAAAAGTATTACAGCTATCGTTTTGATTTTTTCTGAGACCCATAGTGGAATTTTATAAAGTATATTTTTTTCATTGCCATAATCTTCAAAAAATGAAAAATTAGTATTCAAATTGGCCTCAACTTGAAATTACTACAAATTTCATATTATTTACATTATTGGCAATCAAGGTCATAGAACCAAGATCGGATCGGATCAGCTACCAAGAGTGTTAAGTCCTCTAATGCTATTTGATACAAAAAAATCATTTAAAATTGTGATATGCCAAAAAATATATGCCAAATTTAACCTCAAATTCTAACAGTGTGTTAATTAAATTAAAAAATAATTATTTATCAAACTTTTTCCGGAGGTTGTCCTAAAATAACATATGGCGGAGCGGGTTTTTTTATGATTCTAAATTCTATAAAAGTAGCTGAGGTATTACCTACAGACACCACTTCAAAATGGCAACCACAGAAGAAACTACTCTACCGCCACAAGAAATCCAAGAGGAACAGTTACCGCAAGAAAGCAACTACAATAACAATAATAAAGCAACTAAATTGAGTCATGAAAATAATTGGAGTAAATATAGAAAATGAAATTTTGATTTTTTTTTTATTTAATTATAAATTAAAAAAAATCGAAATTATTTTTTTTTTCTAATTTTTTAGTAGAATTTTGAAATATGTACTTTTTTTTTAATTATAATTTATAAAAATTTTTTTTTTTTCTAATTTTTTAATTGAATTTTGAAATTTTTTATTTATTTATACATTAAAAAATGTTTTTTTTATTTAATTAAAAAAAATTATTTTTTTTCGAAATTATTAAATTTTTTTAAAAGAATTTTGAAACATTTTTTAATTTAATAATAAATTAATTTTTTTTAATTTTATTATTATTTTATTTTTTTTTTTTTTTTTTTTGTTCTTTGAAATTCGAAATCAAAATTAATTTTCCAATTCTAATTTTTCAAATCAAATTTTTCTAATTTTTTTTCTTTATATTTCCCATTTTATAGCCTCAAAAGAAGCTGACGAAGCAGATTCCGATTCCTCGGTACACACCCTGCATGGTCTGCGTTATCTTTATAATGGTTATCGTTTCTTGGGCGTTTATTTTCCCAAAACCAAAAAACCCCTATATCTGATCTGGTCGATTTTCATACATATCTATGTGACCATAGGTCTGCCAACGGGTTTTATAATGGGCATCATCGCTGATGTAACCGATGAAAATGTCGAAATTGGCAATCTCTTAACCTCCGTACAGGTGGCCATTAATGTTCTCGGCTGTTCGACTAAAATTATCCTAATGTCAATACTTTTTCCCAAATTACGAAAATGTGAGACGATTTTCGAGCAACTCGATAAACGTTGTATTAGTCGGGAGGAAAAACAACTGGTGCGCCGATTTATGCATGATGGCAATCGATTGGTGCTGCTATTTACAATTGCCTATTGGTCGTATTCGAGTAGTACGATGATTAGTACGGTGATATTTGGCCGCTTACCCTATAATATTTATAATCCGTTTATCGATGCTGAGGCATCTAGGGGGAATTTTATTTTGGCGGTTATTATGGAAATGATACCGGTGGACATTGCATGTTTCATGCAGGTGGTGGATGATTCATATGCTGTCATCTATGTGCAAATATTGAGGACTCATGTTCAGGCCTTGATTGTGCGATTAGAAAATTTAAACCAAAATCAGGGGGAGGAGAAGGAGGATGCAGATGCTCAACAGGAGAGAAATGTTGAGAAATTACGCCTGTGTATTATTGATCATCAAAATATTATTGAGTAGGTTTCAAATAGTATTCCATATATATTTTCCTTATAAACATCTCTCTCTCTCTTCGAGGCTGTACAACCGTGTATCACCGGTAATATCCATTACCATTTTTGTACAATTCACCATAACTGCCAGCCTACTGGGTTCAACACTAATAAACATACTGATATTTGCCACCAATACTGCCTCAATGGTGGCCTCTTGCTTCTATGTCCTGGCCGTTGTTGTGGAGGTATTCCCGCTATGCTACTATGCCCAGTGTTTAATGGATGAAAATATTCAACTGACCGATGCCATATTCCATTCAAATTGGGTATATCAAAATGAACGTTATCGTAAAATGTTGATATTTTTTATGCAACGTTCCCAGAAGGTCATCGAATTTACGGCCGGGAAATTATTTCCCATTACCTTGAGTAGTTTTTTGAGTGTGAGTGCAAAAAAAAAAGACAGGAGAACACATTTTTTCATCATCATTCTTTCTCTTTGCAGATTGCCAAATTTTCATTTTCTTTGTATACCCTGATAAAGGAAATGGATTTGAAGGAGCGTTATGGTTTGAATTAATATTGGAAAATAAATATATAATTTATTCTGAATATATGATCGATATAAATAACGAATATATCAATACAAAAATAGCTCAATACCAAATCATAGCCCACAAAATACCTATATTTACATTATCAATTTATTATTAAATATTATGGCTAGAGATTTTTTTTGCTCGGAGACCCTTGGTGAAATTTGATGTAGAATATATTTGTCATTGATTTCATCGCCCAAAAATGAGGCTATGTGGAATATATGGGCAATGAACGGCAACAAACCCCAAAAAAGAAGCAGTGTTTGTTTTTAATATACAAAATTTAAAATTACATTATTTTTTGATAAATATTATAGCTAGAAATTTCTTTTCTTTGGAGACCCTTAGTGAAATTCCATGTAGAATATATCTGTCATTGACATTATCTCCCAAAAATGAGGCTATGTGGCAGATATGGGCAATGGAATGCAACAAGCCCCAAAATACCTCAATCGATTTATTTTCCCTTTAATACCAATTTTATATTAAAATTTTTCTTGATAAATGTTATAGCTAGAGATCTCTTTTCTTTGGAGACCCTTAGTGAAATTCCATGTAGAATATATCTGTCATTGACATTATCTCCCAAAAATGAGGCTATGTGGCAGATATGGGCATTGAACTGCAACAAGCCCCAAAATACCCCAATCGATTTATTTTCCTTTCATCCAAATTTCATATTAAAACGTTTCTTGATAAATGTTATAGCTAGGGACTTCTTTTGTTCAGAGACCCATAGTGAAATTTTGTGCAGAATAACTTTTCCATTGACATCACCTCCAAGAAATAAAGAATTTGTGGTCATTTTGGCCTCAACATGAAATATATTCGAAATTAACCTCAAAATATTACTTTGTTGATATAACTAATTTTAAAATTTAAATTTCATTGTTATTATACAGACTTCTTTTGTTCAGAGACCTGTATTGAAATATTGTGAAGAATATAATTTCCATTGACAGCATCTCTCTAAAATGTACCTAAATGGAAAATATTGCCAAATATCAAAATTAAACCCCACAAAAGGTACAATAAGGCTATTTTTAGTTTATAAACTAAATTTAGCATGAAAATTTTACTGATAAATACTATAGATAGAGTTTTTCGGTGACCCATAGTGAAATTTAGCGTAGAATATTTTGCTTATTGACACCAAACCCCTAAAATGAGGTTTTGTGGAAAATATTGGCAAAATTGAAAAATGCCATGAAATTTACTACAAAAATGCCTCTCTTTCATCATATACAATTTTTAACGGCATTTTTAAGCAATAATATTGAATTTACAGATTTGAAATGTTTGGGAACCTCTAGTGAAATTTTGTGAAGAATATTTTTTCCGTTGACACCAAACCCCTAAAATGAGGTTATGGGGAAGATTTTGTTAGAATTGAAAATTACTATGAAATTACCCTTTGAAATATTTGTCCTCTACATATATACATTTCTAACGGTACTATTTCTAATTAAATCTTATTTCCACAGATTATTCTTGTTAGGGGACCTATAGTGAAATTTTGTGTAGAATATTTTTCGCGTTGACACTGTACACCGAAAATGATGTTTTATGAGAGATATTGGCAAAATTGAAAAATACAACGAAAAAATAAAAAAAAATCTAACCTAAAATTCTACACAATGATTTTCATTCAGACTTTATATTTTAAATATTCTAGTCAAATGCCTCAAAACATTTATTTTCAAAAAAATCTATACATTCTTTATTACTTTAATTTATGGTAAATAATTTTATATATTTTTTAATAATAATTTGTAAAAAGTTTCTTAAAATACTTACTTTAATAAAAAATTATATTTGTAGATTAGATAATAAAATGCATTATCTTCAATATAATTTCGAAATGTCTTCATATTGTACTTTTTCAACAATGCGTCCCTTCAACGGCCCACGGGCAATTTCAATGGTAACACAATAACGCTTTTCGTCTAATTTTCGCAGTATAGCCTCACAACCTCTATAGGCACCATTTACCACTAGTATCGGTTTGTCAAGGGCTGGTATAACAGTTTCCAAATGGGCCTGAAAAAAAAATCATTCAAAACATTATTTCTAAATTTTTGTTATATAAAATAATTTCGCATTACCTGATCAACTTTGACTTTTTCACCCGTTTCCAAAAATTTCACCTTGGCCACATATTTATCCACCACCTCTTGAATGACGGCTTTTTGTTTATAGAATTTTTCACCCAATGATTTGCTAATGAACTTCACCACAATACCCTCGTGCAACCAATAGTCCTTGCGATTGGCTTTTTCCTTTTTCTGTTCTTCCATTTTTATGATTTCATCCAAGGCTGAGGTAGAAGATGAGGATCCAGATCCTGATGATGATTTGTGTTTATTATTTTCTAATTTAATTGCCTTGGGTTTCTTAAAACCCTCCTCATCTTCTTCACACTCTGAACCACTACTGTTGTCATCATCCCGTTTTTCTTGTTTCACCCTTTTCTTTGCCATCAATGCCGACGGTGCCAACAATTTTGTTTCCGGTTGGAATTTCTTTTCCAAACGTATATCCAATTTCAAGGGTTGTTCCTCATCTCTTCTGAGTTCCGTGTATTTTTCTTCATCATTTTCCCCCGTTGTACCATCTTTCTTTTTCGTCTTTTCAATTTGTTTCTCAATGAATTCCATCATACGCTCCTCATCATCTTTTTCCATTTTCTCTTTACGTTCAGCTTTGGCCTGTCGCTCCAGAGCCTCGGGACTGCGATCGATATAGGTGACAAACCAACCTTTTTCCGTTTCATCGGCCACCACTTGACCCGTTCGACCCAACCATTTAACATAATCGGATAATGTTAGCCACCGGGTGGCATTCATGTGTATGTGATTCTTGTCGGCAATGTATTCCTGATAGACCTTATTGGCATTGACACGTTTGGTGCCGAATCGTCTTCGCAGTAATTCCATATATCCATCGGAGAATTCTTTGGAAAAGCTGTGCAGGAATTTGCCCGGAGCATCGGCAAACAGGAGCAACTGGCGCTGATGGCTTTCGCTGGTGGTGTGGCATTTGAAACCATTCTCATCACGACATTGTTTCTCACACATCTGACAATACCAGCGTAACTTCTGCAGGCCCTTGGCCTTCATTTTGTTGGCCAAGTATTTGGGAGTTCCCACCTCTGCACGACCCATTTTGGATGATTATTTCCAACGATTCTAATTCTTTGGGAAACTAAGGGAAAGATGCTTCCTCTATTTTGAAGAAGAATAACTGTTTTACTTATGCACCTATCAAACTTAAAAACGTTCCACATACAATGAACAGAAGGAGTTAGCTGAGAATGGATGATAAAAATGAAATCAAAGCAAAATGGCATAAAACCATATTGTTTACGAATAAGGGTAAAGCAATACAACGATATTATCCTCTCTTTTGTCTAAAAAGAAAAGACATGAAGGAATATCAATCAGCTGATTGATGCTCTCTACAAAATAGGGACACGTAGGGCGATTTTTTACGGTTGACCTTCTGCTGAATAAACCTTCCAAATTTAATAACGTTCCACTTGCAATGAACAGAAGGAGGGAGTTTGTAATAAAAAAGCGAAATCAAAGCAAAATTAACATATTGTTTAAGAATAAGGGTAAACCATAACGTGTTTATTATAATCTTTTGTCTAGAAAGTGACAACATTAAAGAGTGTTAGTCCTGATTTATATTAGGCGAGTTTACTTGCGGCAATTTTTATCGTTCTCTTTTGAACTTGCTCCATGCGTCTATACAAGTCCCACAGCATTTCCAAAAAAATTTTTTATTTGTTGTTTTTTCACATTTAAATATATATAAAATGTCAACAAATACGAAATACACAAAACGAATTGCCAGAAAATTGTCGGTACGAGCAATTTTTTTCCAGTTCTATTCCCCTTGCCCCTCTCTCCTACAAACAAAGACTTGCCGCAAGTAAACTCGCCTAATCTAAATCAAGACTTAATTAGCTGATTGATTTTCTACAAAAAATAGGGTTACGTAGGGCGATAACGAACACAATTCCCACAGCGGCGTCTGGCGTTAACTTTCAACTTAAGGGTAACAATTATTTAATTTAAATCTAATAATAGCAAAGAATTTTGTTGAAATTATATTTAATTATACACTGTGATTCAGAAAAACAAGTATTCACCCTTATAATAGTTCAAAAATCTGATATTGATAGAAAATGCAAAAAAAACAATACATATTAAAATAATACAAATTACCATAACTTGAGGTGAATAACAAAAAAGTCACTCTGGCTTCTTCTGTCAAATATGAAATAAATATGCCCAACAGGTTGTTGTTGTGTTTATTGGATATTTTTTAACACATAACTAAAAAATGAATGAAAGGATATGATTTATTTTCAAAATCTAAAATCTTTTCAAAATCTTTTTACCGGGTCACTATGGGTCACCGAACAATAAAAATGTGTAACTCTAAAACGGCATGTACACTAGAACTTTATCACCGGGTTAACCTACTTTATGAGTATTTATTTGACATATATGCAAAGGAATTGACAATTGAAAACCACTGGGTTAACGAAATCCGGTTAAATGTAAACGACCTATTATGAAATGGCTATTTCATCAAGTAAACCCGGTAAAAATTATTTCCATGTATATGCCGTTTTACAAAGCAATTATTACCAGGCGAATAAATTTTGCATATATTTTACATTATATTCAAAATAATACACAAAAAATATATTTATTATGATATGACGGAACATGCCACCTTGAGAAAAAATGGTTATCCAATGGTAGCTATAGTCTACCTTGTAATAATTATACCATGTCAATAAGGTAAACCAGGAAGATCAGCTGTTTCTCCACATCAACGTCAAAATGTAATATAAAATAGGATTTAAACGCTATTATCGGTATTATTATCGAACATTTGTTTAAATTTTGAACACTATAATTATTATTAATATATTAAAATAATAATATTATTTTACATTATAATAATACAGCGTCCAAGCTAAAGTTATTAATTAACCTTGGTAAAGGAAAATTATTTTATGTATATTTCTTTACAATTTTTGTTTTAATTTTATTTTTAATAATAATAATAACAATAACAATTTAATACCAAGTGTTTGAAGAAAGTGAAAATGTGTACATACATATTTATTAATTGTTGTTGATAATGCATAGTAATAAACGTCAGTCCAGTATTTTTCGCTGACTCAAAAAAAGCGCATTTTTTTATTTACGTATTCCGGCCATCCCCCCTCCCATAAAATTGAAAATAATGCATTTTATTAGAATTCTCAAGCCATTTTATATTGTACTTGTTATTGCCGAAGACATTAAACAATTGTTTGTATTCAAAAGACGACGACGTTATTTGTTTAATGACTTTTTAATTTATTTTTTTTATTTGCAATACACCGAAAAAGGGTGTAATAGACATTTGTATGTATATATATACGTGCTTACATTTCCCATTAAATATCTGATAAGCAAGAAATTCCTAATAAAGACGTCAGACTGTGAGTATTTTTGCAATTACAAATCGTAAGATTATATTTTGGATTTTTTCACATTTACTTTTGAGGAAAAACAAAACAAAATGTATTTTTTAAAACGCCAAGAAAACAACATCTAACTTCCCAGATCATAAATTTATATTATGGCCAGTTTTTAAAAACAATTGTTTCTTTTAATGTCTCAAAATTTTTCCGAGAGAGTATTTAAAATCCCATTTTCTTTACACAAAACTATTTGAAAATAAACTATATAATAAATTATAATATTCTCCATACATCTCTTATTCAAAATTGTTTATTAAAAAAAACATAATAATTTCAAAATAATAATTTTCTAAACTAAAAAATTTAGTTTATTGCAGAATTTCTGTCTGATATTTGGTTGATTTTGTTATTGCCCAATATCTCCCACACATGCCGATTTTAGAGAGATGAAGTCAATGGAAAATATATTCTACACTAAATTTCACTATAGGTCTCCGAACAAATGAAATCTCTAGCTATAACATTTCCCAATAAAAAATGCTAAAACAAATGAAGATATATCAACAAAACACCTTTTTGAGGTTAAGTTCATGTTTAGCCTAATTTCGTAAAGAATTTGTCATTTTTTGGGTAAAATGTCAATGGGAAATATATTCTTCACTAAATTTGACTAATGGTCTCGAAACAAATGAAATCTGTAGCTATAATTTTTCCCAGTTAAAACAAGCAACAAAAAATTTAGTGTATTAACGAAGAAACATGTTGTCTCTCTTGAGAGCGAGAGAAGACAATCTGTAAAAATTATAACAATTTCAGGCAACAAAACAAAAAATTATTAATAATAATATATAAATAAGCAAAGCCAAGTGAGAAGCCAACACAGTTATCGGCAAACTCGCGCGGTTATTGTACACAAAACGGATAGACAGAAGAAAGTGAAACATCTATTTAAAAGAAAGGAAACGGAAATAAATTTATTAGAACTATTAATAAAAAAAAGTGCTAAAATAAATACGAAAAATGTTAAATAAATTAATAATCTATTTATTAATATTAATCTCGATCGCACATTCCCTCAACGCCAATATTCCACCAAGAGAGCATCAAGAAATCATCGAAAAATCAAATACCGGCAGTCATTTGCGACAACGTCGCGAATTAACCGATTGGCTAATTGCCCCCAACACCATCTGGTGTGGTCGTGGTAATAATGCCAACGATACCTATAATAATTTGGGTGGTGCTACGGCAGCGGATAAATGTTGCCGTAAACATGATCATTGCAAGGTATATATCCCAGCCATGAGCAGCCGTTATGGCGTCTTTAATTATCGTCCCTATACACTGTCACATTGTAATTGTGATCGCCGTTTTAGGACTTGCTTGAAAATGGCCAATGATGAGGATTCCAAAACGATTGGAAAATTCTTTTTCAATATTGTACAAATGAAATGTTTCACCTTGGATAAGGAGATCAGTTGTGAAGAACGTGGTGATAAGGCGACAGGAGAATGTTTAACGGAGCGTATTAAATATAAGGCATACGTTAGAAATAATAAGAAATTTTAAAAATATATACAAATTTAAAAAAAATAATATCAAAAAATATTTAAAACAAATGTAAGGTTGCATTTATACGGAAAGTGTTTTATGAACAAGATCAGCTGTTTCTCAAGTCAGCTGTTAAATACATATCATTGTGAATTGTGAATTCTCAATGTAAAAAACGTAAATTATATAAAATTATTAAATTATCAATAGTTGATATTTTATAATTAATAATTTATATGTTCCATATATTTTATTATTATTATTTATAAAATAATTCTCTGTGATTATATACATTATATTATTAGAAGTTAATTTTTTAATAATTAATACTTATTAGATATTATTATATAAATAAATAAACGATATATAAATTTGTTAATTAATTTGTTTTAAATGATTTCAGTCCTGGGCAATATCTCCCATATGGGTTGATTTTATGCAAATAATGTCAATGGAAAATATATTCTATAGCAAATTTCACAATACGTCTCCGAACAAAGTATATCTCTAGCTATAATATTTATTAATAAAAATGTCAATATTAAATTTAGTTTATTGCAGAATTTGGTCTGCAGAATTTCTGTCTGATATCTGGTTGATTTTGCTATTGGCCAATATCTCCCACACTGGCTCATTTTAAAGAGATGATGCCAATGAGAAATTTATTATACACTAAATTTCACTATAGGTCTCCGAACAAATGAAATCCGTAGCTATAATATTTTACAATAAAAAAAGCAACAACAAATTGGGGTATATGAAAAAAGATAATTTTTAGGTTAATTTCAAATTGAGCTTGATTTTAGACAATTCTTCATTTTATAGTAAAATATCAATGGAAAATTTATTCTTCACTAAATTTCACTATAGGTCTCGGAACAAATAAAATCTGTAGCTTTAATTTTTCCTTTAAAAAATGCTAAACAAATGAAGATATAGCAACAAAGCACCTTTTTGAGGTTAAGTTCATGTTTAGCTCAATTTCGGAAAGAATTTGTAATTTTTTGGGTAAAATGTCAATGAGAAATATATTCTACACTAAATTTCACTATAGTTCTCCGAACAAACGAAATCTGTAGCTATAATATTTCCCAATAAAAAATGCAACAACAAATTTACATACTTTTTTCAAATTTAGGCCAATTTGGGCCAAAATTTTTCATTTTTTCGAGACGATATTAATGGAAAATATATTTTTCACTAAATTTCGTTATGGGTCTCTGAAAATATGAAATCTGTAGCGGTAATGCTTTCACAACAAAGATGCAAAAAGATTTTTTTTTTTGAATAATTTCATATTCATTTATATTAAAATTAATTTTATTTTCTTATAATTTATTATTAATTTATAATTATTATATATATCTTAACAAAATACCCTAAATATATACACCTACAATATACATATATTTAAAATGTACTAAAAGAATATGTTGTCGGGACATATGTTAACTTTAATGTAGTTGCTGTTGGTCCAACACCGGAAGAGGTAGATGACGGCGCCAGCGCCTGCTGTCCTCCCACCGCAACATTTGTTTTTCTTTCAGGTACCATTGACATCATACCCTCTTCACGATGCTTACGCATATGCCCCGCTAATCCCGATGCCTGCTTATAGGCACTACCACATATTTTACATTTAAATTTCTTCACATTCAAATGTAGAAAACTATGATGATAGAGAGCTTTCTGGCGGGCAAACGAGGCATTGCAGACCTTACAGATGTGCGGCCGTTCCGTTGAATGCGATGCCATATGTTCGCCCAATGCCGAACTGGATACAAAGCGTTTCTGACACACCTCACAGGCATAGGGCCTCTCGCCAGTGTGTGAACGTTGATGTACCCGCAATGTTTCATTTTCCCGACACGTATAGCCGCACGCGTCGCAGATGAGATTTTTCGGTTTTGTGTGGATGTTTTGGTGGGCCCGCAGACGGCGCATGGTGGCAAACAACTTGCCACAATTTTCGAAGTCACAACAGAAACTACGATCGGTTTTGTGCACATCGATGTGCCGCCTCAGGTAGTATTTTTCGGCAAAACTTTTACCACATCCCGCCATGGGGCAGGTGAAGGTTTTTTCGGCATTGTGGGTTTTTTCATGGCGCTTCAGTTGATGGCGTTGCTTGTGGCGCGATTCACACACAGAACATTTCCAGCCCTCGTGTGCCACAACAACATGTTTATCTAAATATTTCCTTTTTGGGAACACCTCATTGCAGTCGGGACAAATGTGTTCTTTGATCTCGGTGCTGGTGCACTTTTTTTCTTCACTTGTATCGTGTACCCGTTTTATGTGTGTCTTCAAAGATCTCTCATTTCGAAAGGATTTGTTGCAAATTTCACATTCCACACAGGATTGGTTTGTGTTGGAGGTGGTGGTGGTGGTAGTGCCATCAGTATTTAACTAAAAGAAACAAATTTGGTTATTCAAACCCCCAATAAATAAATTCATATCACTTACAATTGGCTTATAGTCCTCATCGGAGCTATGGTTGTCTTCATCGCCATCATCATCATCCTCCGCCTCCTCTTCAAAATCACTGTTAATTTTGTTCTTAGCCTTTTTTACCTTTGTTTGGGGTTCCTTTTTCAACACGGTTATAACCTCCTCCCCATAGCTGTCATTGTCGCTATACTCATCATTATTATGATGGTCATCATCCGCATCACCATCAATATTATCATGACTGGAGAGAAAATCCTCCTCTTCACCACCAATCAATGCCTGACTATCCCAGATTTCCTCTTCGTGTAATTGATCATATTCGGCAGGTTGTGTATCACCTGATTCTGATTTTATTTGCACTTCCGCTGTCACACTCTGAGTGTTGCTTTTGTTATCAAAGGACTCCGTTTTAAGTAAATCATTTTCAAAGTGGACATTTTGGATGTGCAACAGGAAATCATCAAAGACGAAATGCTTCAAACCACATACACACAGAATTGTAAAATCTCTGGAGCTATGGAAATAAATTTCACCACATTTCGCCTTTGGCCGATCGCCCAGAAACGTTGTTGGTGGAAGGACTTTTAACATTTCTCTTTTCGTTGAGTTTAACTCTCTCTAGGCCGATGGGGGAATGTCCTGGACTAAAATTGTAATAATTAACCCTTTGCTTTCGTTGCTTGATTTTTCTTGTTTTGTTTGGCTATTGTACAACAGACAACAGTAACAGAACGGGTGAATAGATGTCCGTTATTGTAACGTAAACGTGACGTATCACCTGATAACTTGTAAACAATCAAATCCTGTTGTAGAAATGTGAGAGAGAGAGGAAAAATGGTTTGTAGAGAAATTTAAGTCTAAGGTATTTCTAGTTGGGTTTTTTTTTATAACAAAAATTGTGTTATTGTAATTATAAAAAAAATTACAAAAAACTAAAATTAAAATAAAACATTAACATCATTAAAAAGAATAATTTAACTTAAATAATAAAGAAATAAACCCATATGTTTAATGTGATTCATTAAAATGAACTACTTAATTAGCTTCTTCTAGCTCTGGAGAGCTAGCTCTTAAAGCGAGAGAGATAAATTGGCGCATAGAGCAATTAAATATAAAAATTAAAAAACAACTAAAACGAACATTAGCAGAGTCATAAAGAATAATTAAACCTAAAATAAATAATAAAGAAATAAATCCATATGTTGTTCAATGTGATTCCCTAATATGAACTTCTGAATTAGATGCAAATGTGTGTGCTTCCTCTTCCTTTGAACACTTAATATGCCAGTTGAATTGATAACACAACGGAGAGTTTTAATTATTCTATCATTTAAATTTTTATAGAATACAAGGAATTTAATTAAATTAATTTTTTTCCTGAATTATTATATAATTAAAAAGATAAAAATTTCACATTTAACTTTCATATACTAACAATCATGCACTATACTATTAACAGCCGATATAGTTTCCTCACGGGCCGCTATCGGCGGTGTTACCTCCAAAACACTCGATAAATTATCTGGGAAAAATGATGGATACGAAGACGATGAATTTTGTATTAATTCGACAATGACCCGTTTTGCCTCTTCCTCTTTGTGATTAACTTCATTGGGATCAAAAGTGGAATGGCCGCAATTGATTGTTGGGTGATGATGATCATCATCTATCAAATGATGATGTGATGTTGTCGCCTCCTTGCTCTCACTTAAAACTTCATTATCATCCGTATATATTTCATCGGGTATTTCAGAGGGTTCTTCAATCACTTGACCCGAATCGTTGTATGTATCGGTGATAATTTGAAAATCATCTTCATTCGTTTCGATATTATTCCGATGAAATGATCGGGATTTTCTTCTTTTGTTTCGTTTTTGTCCATTGGAGGACGACGAACCCCCCACCGTAGACTGATCTTTTCTCGGTTTGGGTGGTGGTCTTGGCAACTTGTGCATTATTTTAAAATGATGACTTAGTCCCGAACTGAAATTGAACACCTTACCACAAACGGAACAGGAAAGTAGTCGTTTGGGACGTGGCGTATGGGTTTTCATGTGTTGGGTAATGCGCAGCGTAACCTTGCCACAGACGACACACGTTTGCGGCACTTGTTCCTTGTGATTACGCATATGTTCCATTAAAAAGAATTCCGTTGAATATTTACGACCACAAATATGACATTTGTGCACCTTGTGGGAATTGTGAGATATGACGTGCTCCTCATAGGTTACGGCATTCGAAAAATTCTTACCACATTGTTGACAATTAAACGGCCGATCCAAGTGTACTTTTATCATGTGACGTTCCAAAAGGCTGAGACTACTTAAGCGGCGATTACATATCTTACACACAAATCCGTCCGGGTAGTGGACCGATTCAATGTGTTGTTTTAACTGGCCGTATTTGTTAAAGAGCTGATTACAATCTGGACAGGCCAGAGCCAGTTTAACGGAACTATCCGATTCTAGATAATGAGTACGTTTGTGTATTGTTAAACTGAAATGGCTGCGAAATACCTTTCCACATGCTGGACAAACAGATTTTGTATCATTCGTTGCTGATGTACTTGGATGGTCATCACTATTGCTGTTATCCTTGCTATCCTTCCTTAAAGATGTCACAGTCATATTTTTCGTTAATCTGTCTTCAGTCGATGGCAAGGTGTTGGGTATTTTAGTGCCCTCTGGTATTAGGGTAATAAGAGTTTCACCAATTATCTTTTTGCTGGCCTTCTTTCCAAGCCCATCACCGTTGCCGAGATTTTCATCTTGTTCCACAGATTCGGATGAATGACGACTTCTATTCAAATAACCATTGGAAGGCAATACTTGTTGTGATTTTGTTTGCTCGGTTTTTATGCGTTCGTATATTTCGGCAATGCGATTTTTTACAGCAATAACTTTAACCGTAGTGACTTTTTTCTTTTTAGGATTTTTGTTGGCCAGAAATGTCTTTGCTGGTGTTACCTACAAAACGAAAGGATTTGAAAGAAAATTGAAAAAATATCTTATAAGCAAAAAAAAAAATACTAACCCTAATATTTTTAAAATTATTTGGATATTTAACTGGCGGTTCATTTTCATCCACAATTCCTTCGGTACGCATTTTTTCAATATTAATCTCCTGCAGGAAACACTCTTCAAATGTTTTGTTTTTTGATTTTTCATTGTCATGCTGCTGCTTGGAAGCATAACATGTATTGGATTGTTGAATTAAATTTAAATCATTGGAGGTTTCTTCCACTTGCTCTTCATTTTCCATTAAGTCTTCGCATACAGATTCATTGGAAGAACATGTAGTGTTGGCATTTTCCAAATCCTCCTCCAAATCACATAAATCCGTATCTTCTCTGGATAAGATTCTATTTGATTCCAATTCCACATCATCTTTTGACACATCGCCAGCGATTTCATCATATTCGGTGTATTCGACAAGTTCTTGCTCATCTGCAGTGATATTTGTATCATCATCAATGTGTTCACTTAAATGTTGACAAAAATTATATATATTTTCATAATTGTTATTACAATATAAACAAATATAACGTAGTATACGCGTTTTGCTATTGTAAACAATTGTTCCACAATCTATGCAATCGTTATTTTCTGCATCATCATGTTTGTTGTTACGGTACACTTCATCGTAAATGTCTTCGAGAGCGTCTTCTGTTTCCATTTTTTGTTATTAATTATATTAATTATTTAAATTTTTTATTTTATTTTACTTAAACATTGATTTGCTTTGGAAGGCAAAACTTCTTAGAAACAGCTGATTTTACAGCAGAGTTGACAGACTAGGCATCACGCCGTTTACAACAGGAGACGGCGTCATAATAGCGGCATTTCAATTTCCAACTTTTCATTATTAGTTGATTATGTATGAATAATTTTATTGAATAAATAATTGCTTTTAGCATTACAGTTTCCAATTTTTATTTTCTGTGTATTGTTATTTAATATTTGTAATTCTTATTTTCGCTTTCGAAAGGACTGATAACTCAGTAGAACAAGAGCACGGCGTCGGAGGTGTTTTTACATGGCGTGCATGTTTTCGTAATGGCGGCATTTCACTTTACATTTTTTTGTTATTAGTTTATTATGTATTTATAGTTTTATTGAATATATAAATCCAGTTTCAATTTTTTTATTATTTTTGTATGGCTTCTTATTACTTTTTTGTTTTTGCTTACGAAAGAACAGATTTCCCAGAAACACAGCATCACCGTGGTTTTGTATGGCGTTGATGGTTTGTTAATGCAGTTATTCTATTTTCAATTATTACCACCTTGTATTTATTATATTTTTTCAAAAAAAAATGTAAAAAGAAATATAAACGCATTCGTGAGATGAAGTTTAGTTTATTATTATATTTTTAGTTTTAATTAAGTCATTTGTTTATTTTGTTGCAAAAAGAAAGTATTTTTTTACACAACGCCGTTAATTTTTCTCAAAGAGCGTGAGCAAAACCCTCTTTACGTCATACGTTACGCTTTTTGCAAATGTCAAAAAAGTTGTTGTTGTTGTGAACTCAATTACGGCCGACGACGACGACTGCATGTTGAGAACTTGAACACGCCAACAATTCCATTCCGGTTGGTAGATATTTTTCGTGATAAAAATAAATAAAACTCCAACGACAAAATGCATCCCGATCTTACCGAACGGATACTCCAACACCTCGATACCGTTGAAAAGGTCGACACCCTAAATTTGGTCGATGTTTTCGGTGTTGATCATCAGAAAATTGTCGGTGCCCTGAAATCCATACAAGCGCATGGTGAGTTGGTAAATGCCGAAACGACATCACGAAAATCTTTGGAGGTCACCGAAGAGGGTCAAATGGTTGTGGCCCAGGGCAGCCACGAAGCTGTGCTCTACAATGCCGTTCCCCTTGATGGTATCGCCCAAGCCGAACTAATGAAAAGTGGCCCGAACGCCAAGGTTGGTTTCAGCAAAGCCATGTCCCAGGGCTGGATTATGGTCGATAAATCGGTGAGTCCACCGTTGGTGAAACGTAAAGTGGATCACATTGAGGATACGGTACAGCAAAATCTCATTGCTGTGGCGGCGGGAAAGACCGATTTGCCGGCAAATTTAATTGCGGAATATAAAAAACGTAAACTGCTGCAGGAAATCACCACCAAAAGTTTTATTCTCAGCAAAGGCCCCGAGTTCTCCACAACTCTTACCAAATTGGAAACTGATTTGACCGTGGATATGTTGGCTTCTGGTTTGTGGAAAGATTTGAAATTCAAATCGTATAATTTCGATGCCTTGGGCGCTCCACCACAGCGTGGACATTTGCATCCACTGTTGAAGGTGCGCACGGAATTCCGTCAAATCTTTTTGGAAATGGGTTTCTCGGAAATGCCCACAAATAATTATGTGGAGTCGTCGTTCTGGAATTTCGATGCCCTCTTCCAGCCGCAACAACATCCAGCCCGTGATGCCCACGACACTTTCTTCATCAATCATCCGGCAAAGAGCTACAAATTCCCTCAGGACTATTTGCAACGTGTCAAGAGTGTACATTCCACGGGCGGTTATGGTTCACAGGGCTATGGCTACGATTGGAAATTAGAGGAGGCGCAAAAGAATTTGCTGCGTACCCATACCACGGCAGTAAGTGCTCGAATGCTCTACAAATTGGCCAATCAACCGGAAGGTTTTAAGCCAGCCAAATATTTCAGTATCGATAAGGTGTTCCGTAATGAAACACTCGATGCTACCCATTTGGCTGAGTTCCATCAGGTTGAGGGTGTGATTGCTGATGTTGGCCTGACACTGGGTGATTTGATCGGTACCCTTTATGAATTCTTCCGTAAATTGGGCATTACACAATTGGAATTTAAGCCAGCCTATAACCCATACACCGAACCAAGTATGGAAATCTTTTGTTTCCATCCGGGTTTGGGTAAGTGGATTGAAGTGGGAAATTCGGGTGTTTTCCGTCCGGAGATGTTGCTGCCCATGGGTATACCCGAGAATGTGAATGTTATTGCCTGGGGGCTGTCACTGGAACGGCCGACAATGATTAAATATGGCATAAATAATATTAGGGATTTGGTTGGGCCCAAAGTCGATTTGAAAATGGTCGAAGAGGGTCCTATATGCCGTTTGGAACGGGCTTAAAAAATAATAAATGCAAGAAAAATGTCGCTTTTTTATTATTAAATATTTATGTACTATGTGATTATGTTTTTTTTTTTTCATTAATAAACTTAATAATAATTATCACATTGGGTGTGTTCGTGAACTTAAGAATTTGAAATTTGCAAAAAATTTCCCTTAATAAAAAATGTTGCGAAACTTTTTCCTTTAATAAAATATGTTGCGAAACTTTTTTCCTTAATTAAAAATTTTGCGAAAATTTCCCACTGATTTTAATTTTTTCAAAATTTTCAAATTTTTTTAAATTCATCCTAGATAAAAAATTAAATATGTTCTAGTAAAAAAATTTCTTCTGATTTAAATTTTTTCCAAAATTTTAATTTTTTTAATTCTTATTCTAAGCTACGAAAAAAAAACAATTTTATTTATGGAATTTAAAAATTTATCTTTAGATAAATTCTTCAGGACATCATTTCCCCCCAAATTTAGGGGAAAACTCATTCCCTCAATTTTATTTTTTTTTAGTTTTAAAAAAAGAAAATATTACATATCTAGAAAAAAATGCATTCATCACTCTTCTTCTTAATCTTTATGAGGATGTGTGGCAATGGAAAAGTCCAAACGTTTGCATACGATGGCCACAACAAATATCAAAAATACAAATGAGATGAGCAATAACGGCTCCTGCAACAGCAAGACCTTCGAAAATGTATAGGTCAACTCGAAGTTGGCGATGTGATTCTCCACAACATTCTTCTTCGCAAAGGTAATTGTTGGCCGACCGAAGGTGTCCAAGTAGGTATGCGTTAAACCATCTTCTTGGCGCTCCACGGGATAGGGTGTTTTCAATTTAATATCAGTACATCCTTCGGGTAGGATTATCTTTACCACAGCCTCTTCGATAAACATATCATCAAAGATGTGATCAATCAGACGCATTTTTAGCAAATAATTGCTGCCCTCGCTGAAGAGATACTCAAACGATGGCATGTTGTAACCAATGGTATATTGGGTTTTCCAGCCACCGAACAATGGGAAACGTGGTCTCAATTCCAAGTCGACATATTCACGCAACACATTCATATTGGATGTTGAAATATTACCATTACTGTCACGATAATAAACACCAAAGGCCGAGGCGGGCAACATGGTTTTGTAGGACTTGATGGCAGCCTGGCCGGAACGAGAGTCTTTTTGGAATTCATAACGGGAGAAGGAACCCTTCAACTTGGCACCGGAGTGGGTAAGTTGAATGTGCTCCTCAACGGCAATATTGCCCCAATGGGAAATTTGTATGGTGCGCTCCAGGCGATTGACGGTCATAAAGGGACTTTGATTTTCATAATGGACATACAGCTTTTCTTTGTTGAAGGCTGAAATGGAGATTTTTTTTTAAATTTATTATTTCTTTATTGATTTTTTTTTTTTTTTTTGCTCACCTGCCACATTCTCATAAGGTCCATATTTGATTTTGCTACCCGTCACCGTATACGGTTTAGTTTGATTGTAGGCTATGATATTCGAGGAACTTAAGACAACCTGGGTTTTTTGTTCGCCCGTTTTATAGGGCGTATAGAAATAAAGCTGACCATTGTATCTCACTAACTGCTTATCGGATTGTTTGATCTCCTCTGGGTAGGGTTGTAGCTGCTTGACAAACACCAATTCCACCAACAACTCCTGGGTGGCGGCCGCCTTTGGAAACTCCACATTGTAATAGGTCACATCATCCTTTTGCTGCTGTGCCTGTAACTTCAACTCTTTCTTCTTCGGGTCTTTGGCCACAATGTAAGAGAGCGAAGAGTGTAACTCATTGGGAATGATTAATTGGTATTTGGAGAATGGCTTGCCGGCATCATCAGCGGCCGTAATTTTCAATGTTTCCTTAGTTAATTGTGTGGATAAATCCAAGATGCGATCCACATTTTTATTAATTACTTCGCCACGAATCGCCGGCACATTGAGAATAAACAGAATACCAAAAACTAAAAGTTTTAGGGATTTAGAAAAATGCCGCACCATCACCACCATTTCGCTTAGACACGTAAGAAAAATTTTCTGATGTTTTCATGGGCATCATAAAGAGTCGTTGCCGGCGGCAGATAAACTGCTGGCGATGGTTGGCATGCATTGTTAGTCAACGGCGTTAACAACGGTGTGATAACGCCGTCAGTGTGAAGTAAAGTAAACACAATGCGTAACGTTATACGTTCAGGGCGTTTGACTTCATGCAGGCGTAAATGTTGTAGAATATTCAAAAAATACGTAATTTAAATAAAAATAAATTAAAATTATTAAAAACAAGAAACATAAAATTAAATTCGATTACAAACGATGTGGAGTAGCGATAACCCTGTTATCGAAGGTGGGCGGGTACGCATTGGTTTTTAACGGCGTCAACAATGTTATTGCGTCGTCAGTGTAAAGTCAAATAAATACAATGCGTAACGTTATACGCCTAGGGCGTTTGACATGATGGAGACGTAAATGTTTTAGAAGAAAAAAAAACGACAAAATTTAATAAAAATAACAAAAATAATAATAATAACTAAATTATTTAAAAAAATATTATATTATATATTTTTTTTAATATTTACATATTTTGGTAATATCGTTCACGTAAATTAAAACATAACCTAAAATACTAAAACCGTTTTTAAGATCATAATATATAGGAGGTTTCTCATGATATATGTTACAGCTACAGATTTTGTTTGGTCAGAGACCTATAGTGAAATTTTGTGTAGAATATTTATTTCATTGACATCATTCTGCTAAAATGACGTTTAAAGTGAAAAATCATGTAAATTGAAACATAACCTATCACCTATTTTTAAGATCAATATATATATATATATATATATATATCGATTTATTCATGATATATAATAGTTATTGATTTCGTTTGGTCAGTGACCTATAGTGAAATTTTGTGTAGAATATTGACATCATTCCGCTAAAATCACGATTATAGGGAAAAATTGCATTAGTTGGGAACATAACCTAAAAAATCAAAACATTTTTTACAGGCCTAATTGATAATGAAATTTTAATAATATCCAATTATAGCTGCGGACTTCGTTTGTTCGGAGACCCATAGTGAAATTTAATGTATAATATTTCTTTCATTGATAACATCCTGCTAAAATGATGTTTAGGTGGGAAAAAGTTATATATTGAAAAAAAAAAACCTAAAAAAACTAAAACATTTTTGACGGGCCCAATTTATAATGAAATGAAATAAATTTTTACGTGATATCTATGATAGTTACAAATTTCTTTTGTTCTGCGACATATAGTGAAATTTTGTATAGAATATCGCGCTAAAATGACGTTTTAAGTTAAAAATCACGTAAATTGAAACATAACCTGAAACAATTATTCTAAAGAAATTAAGTTTCTCTTTTTTTGAGATTTTTTTTTATTTTAATTTATTTTTTTATTTATAATATATGTTAATATATTTATTTGTATTATTTTTAATAAAATTTAGTTTTTTTATTTCTTATTTTTCTTTATTTATTTTTATTTTTTATAACAGGGAGGAAATTTGTTTGTTTTTTAATATTTTGATTTTTTGTGGTTTTCTTTATAATACAAATCTAATTGAATATATACTTATGTATAATAATAACGATGTAAATTCTACAACTTTGTGGGTGTGTGTGTGTGTGTTAAACTAAAACCTAAGATAAAAATGTTGTCCTTTTTATTTATTTATTTTCTTTTTTTTTGTAGAAAAATCTATTTCTTTTTATTGCGTTTCTTTTTCTTGTCCGAGCCATGTAGGCCACCGCCTTTTTTGCGTGTTATGCATACACGACAGAACCAGTCTTCATTGTCTTTGGGTTCAACAATTATGCCAACACAGACCCTGCAAAAAATGGGATTTAAATTTATTCTTATATTTTTCATAAAGGAAAATTCAGCCCAAAGAACCAAGAGAGAGAGAGAGAGAGATTCCAAAATGCTTCTTCTTTTTCTTACTTACCAATGATACCATGCATCACAGCCATCACAACCAATCATGGGCGACCCATCGTCAACTTTTCCACAAGCCGGACATATCCACACCCGATTACCCTCAGCATCCTGGAAACGTGAGGATGAGGATGTTGGGGTTAATTGTTTTTTTAATTTTTTTAGCTCATCTCTACTTACAATGTATGAAGAGGGCCGGCTTGTTTCGGTAATGAGGGTGAGGGGACTTTTTCGCTCGCTCCCACCTGCCGAAGATGAGGATGATGCTTTTGCTGAAGAATCGACGGCACTACTGCTGCTGGTGGAGCTTGTATCATGTTTGGCCGTTTGCAATAGCTGATGGGGTAATAATACCGAACTGGCTGATATTGTGCCGCCCGATAGCCAAGGACTGGGTGGTGGTACAATCATGTTGACATTGGAGGTGGCCGTGGAGGAGGTGGCGGAGTGGGAGGATGTGTTGGCAGAGTTATCCAGGGCTCCACTATTACTGCTGGCGTTGGTGCTCTCTGTAAGATAATTTTTTTTTTGAAATATTTGGAATTTTGAGAAACGTTGTTACCCTTACCTGCCGCTGCAACTTTCGGTTTGGGTGGCCTTGTTACCAACGGTGATATTCTGGCCAATTCTGGCGATGGCTCCCGTGGTGGTTCTCGTGGTGGTGGTGATGATGGTACTTTTGGAGGATTTTTATGCAAATCATCCAGCGGAGTTGGGGATTGGGTATTACCCAATTTCAGTGTGAGTTTGGGTACAATGGAGGGTGGTGTTGTCACAGTAGAGGCGGTATTTGTTTCCTGTTCATTGCCCGAGCAGGAATTCACCGAAGATGATGGTGAAGATTTGGGTTTTCGTTCACTATTATCAGCCGCCTGGCCGCTGGACTCTTCCATGGCATGGCGTATTTTTTCCTTTTTCTTCTCCTTTTTCAGTTTCTTTAGCAAATCTTTTTCTTTGATTTTCATTTCAGCACCACCACCAGCCTCCATTAGAGTTGTGCTCGCTGCTCCTCCCACCATTAGCTGCTCCACCAGCCTCTCTTTACTGGGCGAGGAGGATTGTAGATATTTCTCGGCCCGGTCCTTGCTCTTTGTCTTGTCTTTTTTATCCTTTTTCTTCTTAATTTTACCCTCTTTGAGTTCCTTTTTGATTTTCTTGTGCTCCTTGCTGCGTTTCTTTTGTAGATCAAATATATTCGAGGATGAGGAGGTGGTGGTGGGGGAGTGATGGGAAGGAGATGCAGAAGTAGAACGGGAAGGAATGGCTGCGGTAATGGTGATATTATCAAATATTGTGGGTGCCGGAGCAGGACATGCATTGCCTCCTGCCTTATTGGAGGTGGAGGCAGAGGTCAGATTGGTGGTGGCACTGGCCGTCAAACTATTAAAGGGTATATTTTTGGCTGAATAAGCCATACCCGTTGTGCCAGATGTGAGAGGTATTAAATCCGCACCACCCGCTAATTTACTAACACCTGCTGATGACTCGGTTGGTTTGGTTTCGGGATTTATCAGACTGTGACTAAGGCTGGCCGTGGTCTTTTTGACCTGTTTCTTGAGCTTTTTCAATTCCTTGGTGGTGAGATCGGTTTCCATGTGACCTGTCAGGGATGTTACAGAGTGGGGGTTCAGTTTGGGAGGATTTGGCACAAACATATCATCCATATTGAACGTCGAGGAGGTGGGGACTGATGTTGGCTCAATGGTTTGTTGGTTACTTTTTACATTGGAATGACTGCCGGAATGAGAAGGTGCTGCAGGTCCTGTTACCGCAGCCGCTGGCTGACTTGTTTCATCCGAATCATCGGACACCTCAATGGGTTCATTATTCAGGGTAATTGGTGGCTGTTTCATCACACCGCCGCTGCTGTGTTTTTTGTTCATGGAAAAATCCAAACAGGTATCCTGGGGAGGTGGCGCATGACTATTGCCGCCACCCCTTCCCTTTACTGATGATTTGCTGACCTGCATATCAATGGGACTATCTTTGTTTTTCATCATCATCAACTGTTCGAAGGTGTTCAGCGACATACCACCACCTGGGGTATTGGGTATGGATTTGTTGGCATTGGAGGAGGAGGAGGCGTTGGAGGTTACACTCTCAGGTGTATGGCCGTCTGCCCCCAGTTTTTTTAATAAATGTTCCGAACTCAGTGATGTAGAAGAATTTCGCGGTTTGGGTGTTTTGGGCAGATCGTGAGAATCGGGTGTTTTTGAACTTCCCCCCGCCTCTGGAGAATCCTTGATAAGAAAGGCCGGCACCAGTGGTGCCACATTACAATAACTACGTTCCGTGGAAGGTGTACTGCTTGACTTCTTTTTGCCCATGGTTAAATCTTCAGTGCCGCCCAGGGTGGCGGTTGTTGGATTCTCTGTGCCACCGGATGTTGTTGTTGTTGTGTTTGGTTTTAAATTTGGAAATGGAAACATACCCTGGGGTATTAGAGGATTTTTCGGATTATTTGGAAATGCCCCGGCCAATCCTGGTGTGGGAAATATCCCTGTGGGTATAAGACCTGGCCGTGCGGTAAATGGAAACGGCAACATTGAGAGCATATTTGTGGGCAAATTGGGAAATGCTGGACGATTTGGTAACATAAATGGTTGGCCCATACCGGCTGCTGCCGCAGCTGCCATTGCCTCCATGCCATGCATTAGGCGTTTGGATGCAGCTGCCGCCGCCGCAGCAGCATTGCCCGGGGATTTTAGAGGTGAGGTGTTCGCCGAGGAGGAGGAGGATGCCTGAGCATGTTTAGGAGGAGGAAACAGCGATGAGGGTGAGGGCAACTGTTTGTTACCCATTAAACTGGTATCGACCGACAAATCATTAGCGGTTCCGGCGGGTGGCATGGGTGCTGGTTTAAGTACTGTATCCATACGCATTAATTTTTTATTTATATTTTGGATTTCTTCAGTGGTGGGTACGGAACCTGTTGCAGCTCCTCCACTTAACGAGGAGGTTGCTGGGGAGTTAGTGGCCGCCGCCATGGCCATTAAATCTTGTTTTAGCTGTTTATTCTTTTTCCTTTGTTCCTTGCGTTCCTTGGCCGCGGCCATAATCATCATCTGTTGTTGTAGCTGTTTATTTTGGGCCCATTCCATGGGATTCAGGGCCGTGGGGCCGGCATTGGCAAATAGCTGGGCCGCCGCCGTCATATTATCAAATGGTAAATTGCCCAAAGCATTGGCCAGCTCGGGAGGTAAGGGCATTTGTGGGTTAAATAGCTTCGGATCCATTTTCATTTTTTTACTTTTCTTGAGCAGACTGGCTGGCAATTGGCCAGGGATTTTCGGACTATTTTTACTGCCAGGTTTACGGCCACGTTTTTTGGGTTTATTTATAAGATCTTCAGGGGCAGTCGGAGGTGGAGCAGCAGCACCACTGGGTACTGGTAATTGGTTTGAAGGCTGTGCGGAAGATGTTGTTGTTGTGCCCAAGGGTTTTTCTCCAAACACCCTTTGCATGGGTGTGGTTAAATCTGTTGCAGTGCCACCGGGCGGTAGGGGTGTGGGGGGCTCATCATCTAAATTAATAATATCCGGAGGTTCATTTGTGGTCCCTGGTAGCGGGGGAAATAAATTACGTCCCACATTGGAGCCAGAGGAGGAGGTTAAGGGTCCTGGTGTTGGTGTTATTGCTGTACCAGCTGGCAAATTTATAAGGGAGAGAGGCGTGGGCGAAGCCGATGATTTGGGAGTTTTTTGTTTGGATATTTTTTTGAAAATATTCAATTTACTGCGATCCGGTTCATTGGATAATTTCATTTCTTTGCCATCGGATGTGAGTTGTCCAGGGATGAGGGTGGCTGTAGGTGTGGCTGGGGTTGTGGCATCTGCTCCTAGCAAATTTGGGGATTTTGTAGCCTCGTTTGCGGGTAATTGCCCAGAGGCCACTGGACTTATATGCGATGGCAAAGCTGGCTGCTGGCCACCAGGTGATAAACCTGAGGAGGATCCAGTTGGGGTCATTAAAAATCCAGATTTTGTTGGTGAAATACTTAAGGCCTCCGGTTTCATAGGGTTCTCTTCACCAGCTGGCAAATTCCCTCCCGCCACTGGGGCCTGGGCTGGAAAAAGTGGCACCAATGGGGGTGGCTGCTGCTGCTGTTGTAGTTGCATGGTATTTTTCTTCAACTTTTGTGCCTCCTGCATCATTTGCTGTTTAATTTGTTTCTGCCTTTGTTTGACGTGTTTCTTTAGCAATTTTTCCAGCTGCATTTTTTCCGGCCCCGGAGGCAACATTTGCAGTATATGAGGATTTAAAATTTTCATATGTTTATCCTTGATCATGATGTTACTTAGCAGCTCTGCCGGTATCTTGCCCTGCTTTGCCATTTTTTGTAACATTTTAATGTATTTTCGTTGAGTCTTCTCGGCCGGATCGAGTTTGCCGGTTTTCTCCGAGCCACGATTATCCATCATGGCAGCTTGGCTGCCGGATTGTTGCATTAGAGGAGGAGGCTTCAATTTCTTGGCCTTCTTTAGCAACATATTTGCATAATTATTGGGATTGATGTGATGCAGGGCAGGATTATTGTGGGCCATACCCATGGCCAATTGTTGTTGTTTCTTTTTACTCATTTTGGCCGCCGCCTTGGTGGGTGACAATGCCATGGGATTAATGAGGCGTTCTTTTTTATTAGTCATACCTCCAGCACCACCACCTCCCGGTTCATTGGGTTCGGTTTTCCGATTCATTTGATTGGCATTGAATTCGAATGATTTTTTCGTTTCCTTAGCCATGATTTTGTCTTTGTCTCTATCCTCAGATTTCAAGGTATCTGTGGTCATTGCTGTGGGTGTGGAATTCTGGGAACGTGAGGCTGGCCGGGAAACCACTGCAACGGGGGTGGGGACTCTAGGTGGTGGAGGTGGTGTGGGTGGTGGCGGTTCATCCAAACCCATTAATTTATCTACAACAAAAAAAGTCACCTTAAGGAGTACGAAATAAGTAAACACTACTCACCAATGATATCGGGCACAATTGCCTCGGGCATTTTGCCTTCTACAGCCGGTGATATGTAGCCACCAGTTGTCATTACCACACTGCTGACCTCACGGGTAACAGGTCTATCGCCATCCTCAAAATTTGAATTGTTTTTGAACAGAGATTGCAACGTGGACTTGTTGAGCACATTTTGATTGGCATTGCAGGCCACAGGATTTACATTCGATTCTAAAATCAACAACTCCATTAAACTACACTCCACACAAATCCCCTAAAAACCAACTTACCATTTGCATTATTTTGATCTCCCACCACAACATTTAAATTATTCGGATTTGGTTTGATATCCTCTCCAGCAGCAGCAGCACCCTCACTGCCATCACCACCCGTACCATTCATATTATTATTATTGTTTGAAGTTGATGGTACAACAGCCGTATCATTTGCCGGGAGTTGTGTGACTTCAGCTGGCAACATTGGCGGCAGGTGATCATGTACATGTACCGGCCTTGTCAATACCTCCTTGCTGCCAGGCTTCAAGAAATTTAAACATGAATTTTTACGGGCGGGAAATTTCGGAATTTCCATGGCAAATGGTACTGGTTCCACATTATTAATATAATCCAATAGCTCGGTAACATTTACATTAATGCTATTCAATGTCAATGTCACGTCGTCTAAATTGGCTTCTGTGCGATTATCTAAAAAGCAACAACAACACAAACAAAAACAATATGTATCATATAGAAGATCAGATCGGATCAAATGAAATGACATGGTTGCTTACAGTGTTCTACTTGTCGCCGCAGATCACGCGTAAATTCCTTTAGAAACTTGTCCAGTACATCTTGCAGCAGTTCCAGTGGTGCCGTTTGTGTGGCATTGTAACCAATTGTTTGGCAAATTTGGGCAACAGCAACACGTAAGACTTCTTTCATATATCCATCCATTTTTCTTACCCACACTTATGTTATTTTCGTTTTAAGTTATTTTCTTTCCCCTTTAATTTTTTTACAATTATTTCAATGCATTTTGTTGAATACGTTTTTTCTTTTAAGAACTTTTTACAGCGTTTTATGCAAAAAATGAATAATTTTCTCAAGAATTGAGCTGCTGATGAAGATTGTGTGTATACTTATTTATTGAACAGTATAAATGATTCTGTGAAATGATCGAACAGGACTCTTTCCAGTTCCATAAGTTCATTTAAATGAATGCAGTAAAGTGCCTGCGTGTTCAACCTTTTATATTGATTGTGAATACTTCAAAATCTTCACATATTTTTCAGTTTTTCTTTTTTTTGTTCTTCTCTTTCTCTTTTTTCACGGATGATATGAAAAATGATAAGAAAAACTTATAAAAATACTTAAAGATAACTTTCTAATAAAATCAAAAAAGAACCAATATTTGAATTTGTTAATGAAACGATTCGCGGAAATAATTGAATAGAACTTTTCACAGTTCCTTAAGTTCATTTAAATGAACACCGTCAACATGACAGCTGTTCAACAATTGACATTGGTTGGTGGTTATTTTGAAGTACGTACATACATATTTTTCAGTTTTTTCTTTTGTTGTTCTACTCTTTAACTTCTTCCACGGATAATGTAGAAATTGAGAAAAACAAAAAAAAGCGTTGAAACGCAATTAATGTTATATATATATCTTTTTAATTGAAACAAAAACACAAAAAACACATTTGCAATTATTAATGAATGAGTAGAATTTAATAATTCACGCTAATAATCAAACGGTTCTACTTTCAGTTCCTTAAGTTCATTTAAATGAACGCCGTTAACCATTAACCATCTGTTCAAACCATTGCCTTGATATAGTAAACAACAACAATTCAACAATTAACTGGGAAAAATGTTAAAAAATTGTTTTCTACCCGTGAATTACAATAAACCAACAAAAATTTGTGGTGAAATAGTATATCAAAGCTTTGACGAATTCATATTTACATGTAAATTGTGTAAAATTAAAATATTTGATTATTTCGATTTTGTACAACATCTGAAAGATGCCCATGAAAGTGAGTTGCTGGGAGAGGTCAGCAAGAGCAATAATGACCAATCAACCCAATCATCGTCATTATTTAAAAACGAACCTGTGGAGGAAATTGAAGAAATACACTATATTTTAAAACGTAGTGCGAGTGTTTCTTCAAACAATGACCAGCAGGTAGGCATATCAACAATGGATTATCCTGATGAAGATCCATTTAACGATGATGGCAATGATTGTAATAATGATAATGAGGATGATGAAGGAGGCAAGCAGGAAGACAACGACAGAGATTCTATGGATACAGATGATGCAGAAGAAAACGAAGCTAAAAGTATATTAAGATCTGAACGTAAGCCCAAAGAATTCACCTGTGACACTTGTGAAAAGAATTTTACCAGCAAACGTAATCTGAATTTGCACATAAAAATGTCACACCTAAGAGATAGGCCCTACAAATGTGATTACTGTGACAAATCGTTTTTCGACAACACTACTTTGCAGAATCATATTGCCCAACATACCGGCTATGCTTGCCCGACATGCCATAAATCTTTCACGACTAAACGTAATTTAAAACGCCACTCCTTTACGCACATCGAAACCAAGGAATTCGTATGTCCAGTGGAAAATTGTGGTAAAGCTTTTTCTAGTCAGATTTTTCTCAAAGAGCACGAACGTACACACAAAACCGATGTACTTATATGCGAGGAATGCGGATATAAATGTCGCAAAAGGGCATATTTGATTGTACATAAACGCAATCATACTGGCGAGAAACCGTTTGCTTGTGAATTATGTGATCGTCGGTTTGGGTCGAAACCCCTGCTGAATGAACACATTGCCACGCATGACGCGGGTCGAAATCATATCTGTGATGTTTGTGGAAAAGGTTTTAACCGACCGAAGGCCCTATATCATCATAAACATTTGCATTTGGGTATCAAGAAGTACGTGTGTAAAATATGTAATCAAGCCTATGCCCAGGCGGCAGGTTTGTCGGCCCACATGCGGAAACATCGTGAAGAATCGGGTATATTTTCGAATGAGATCTCTACACATTTAAATGTGAATACTCATTTTAATAATTTGTAATAAGTTAAAATAATTATATATAAGAAAATATAATTTAAATTTAAAAAAATAAATTAAAATTTTTACTCCTATAAATTTTTTTTATATATTTTTTAATTGTTGCAGTGTTTTCCCGGGTTCAACAAAAGAGAAGAATATATTTTCTGATTTTGACATGTACCCACTTCAGTTCCTTTAGTTGTATGGGTTTTATTTACATTTTTTAATTCCCTCCTAACAATATCCCCAAAAGAAATCAAACAAAATCCAATAATCTATAGACACATACATACATTTATTTAACAAACTTATGACAAATTATTATTAAAAATAGTATTTACATTTAATGGATTAGAGAGCTCATTTGAAAATATACCCGATTCTTCGCGATGCTTACGCATATGCGCTGACAGCCCCGCAGCCTGGGCATATGCCTGATTGCATATTTTACACACATACTTCTTGATGCCCAAATGCAAATGTTTATGATGATACAGAGCTTTCGGACGATTGAAACTTTTTCCACACACATCACAGATATGATTACGTTCCGTTTCGTGGGCGGCCATGTGTTCCTTCAGTAGGGATTTCGAACCAAACCGACGATCACATAATTCACAAGCAAACGGTTTCTCGCCCGTGTGTTTGCGTTTATGTACAACCAGAGATTCCCGTTGTCGACATTTATAGCCACATTCCTCGCATATAAGTACATCGGCTTTGTGCAGACGTCCATGCTCCCTTAGAAGAACTTGATTGGAAAATGCTTTGCCACAATTTTCAACGGGACACACGAATTCCTTGGTTTCGATGTGCAAATACGAATGGCGTTTCAAATTACGTTTAGTTGAAAAGGTTTTATGGCATGTCGGACAATCATAGCCGGTATGTTGGGCAATGTGATTCTGCAGGGTATTGTTGTCGAAAAACGATTTGTCACAGTAATCACATTTGTAGGGCCTATCTCTTAGGTGTGACATTTTTATGTGCAAATTCAGATTACGTTTGCTGGTAAAATTCTTTTCACAAGTGTCACAGGTGAATTCTTTGGGCTTACGTTCAGATCTTAATATACTTTTAGCTTCATTTTCTTCTGCATCATCTGTATCCATAGAATCTCTGTCGTTGTCTTCCTGCTTGCCTCCTTCATCATCCTCATTATCATTATTACAATCATTGCCATCATCGTTAAATGGATCTTCATCAGGATAATCCATTGTTATGTCTACCTGCTGGTCATTGTTTGAAGAAACACTCGAACTACGTTTTAAAATATAATGTATTTCTTCAATTTCCTCCACAGGCTCTTTTTTAAATAATGATGATGATTGGGTTGATTGGTCATTATTGCTCTTGCTGACCTCTCCCAGCAACTCACTTTCATGGGCATCTTTCAGATGTTGTACAAAATCGAAATAATCAAATATTTTAATTTTACACAATTTACATGTAAATATGAATTCGTCAAAGCTTTGATATAAGATTTCTCCACAAATTTTTGTTGGTTTATTGTAATTTACGGGTAGAAAAAAACAATTTTTTAACATTTTTCCCAGGTTAATTGTTGAATTGTTGTTGTTTACTATATCAAGGCAATTGTTGAACAGGCAGTCAGGTTAATGGCGTTCATTTAAATGAACTTAATGAACTGTAAAACGGTCCGTTTCATCATTTTCGTGAATCGTGTTATTCAACTCATTCATTAATAATACCAAATATTTTAACTTTTTGTTTAGTCCTGATTTATATTAGGCGAGTTTCCTTGCGGCAATTTTTATCGTTCTCTTTTGAACTTGCTCCATGCGTCTATACAAGGCAATTCGGTTTCCAAAATATTTTTTTATTTGTTGTTTTTCACATTTAAATACATATAAAATGTCAACAAATCCGAAATACACAAAACGAATTGCCAGAAAATTGTCGGTACGAGCAATTTTTTTTCATTTCTATACCCCTTGCCCCTCTCTCCTACAAACAAAGACTTGCCGCAAGTAAACTCGCCTAATCTAAATCAAGACTTATTTTTATTTGTATTTATTTTATTTATTTATTTTATTTATTTATTTAATTATCCAGTAATACAAAAGCCTTCATGGCCAAAAAATATATTACATAGTTAATAAACCTGAAATAATTTTAACATTTTTCTATTATTCTATTATTGGCTCCCCAGCCTTTATTTACATTAAAAAATTTTTTAAACAGATCTACAGTATTAAAATTAATTGGCAAAACATTACCCAAGTTTCATATTGATGCTTCGGACTAAAAACAGTATTTTAAGCAATTTTTCGTTATTGGCTCATATTAAATAATACTACAAGGACAAGTGCATTCTAAGTTTTAAACGGAATGCATTGTTAGAGTGTGAGAATATGCGCAATTCTATAGGTAAATAGTTCCAGCATCGAGCAACCCGAACAACAAAACATCTTTCGAAACACCGATTATGTATATGTGGTATTATTAATTGGGTATTTCTACTTGAGTGAGAGAAAGTAAATAAATTACACAACTGCTTAGGGAATCCCGTTTTTATAATTTTATAGAAGTGTGTTAAGTTACGGAAATCAATAAATTTTCTAAACGAACAACCTAAAAAGTTTTTAACAAAATGGGAAATATGTTCACGTAACTTAATGTTATATACAAATCTGGAAATCATATTCATAATTTTCTGTAATTTAATAATGTTGTAATCAGATGTGCCAGATACCACTTCCAAAGCATACAAAATGCTTGGCATTAGAAGTGCATGTGCCATTTTTATTTTAACCCATTTTGGTAAAAATATGCTCACGCTGTGCAACTTCCGTAGAACATAGTAGACTTTAGATTGAACAACATCAATATGGGAGTCAAAATTTAACTTGTTATCTAATAATAATCCCAAACATTTATGTCTATCTACTATATCAACGCCTGATTGACCTACTAAGATATTGATATTAGGCACTTGAGCACCAAAGATAATTGCCTTTGTCTTATTTGGGTTAATATATAATGAATTATCCTGAGTCCATCTTAACGTCCGTTCCAAACATGCATTTATTCCATTCTCAAGGTCATACATTTTATATCGATCTGAATTAAACATAAGGAACACATCATCAGCAAATATGTGCAATGAACATGTATTGAGATCCAAGTATTCTAACAAATCGTTCATATACATTATAAAGAGTAATGGTCCCAATACCGATCCTTGCGGAACTCCAGAATCTAATGATATAATGGTAGATGATATCCCATTTAACTCAACAAACTGCTTTCGGTCATTTACATAAGACATTATAAGTTTACATGCAGAAAATGAGAAATTAAACTTATTTTTAAGCTTGCGAATCAGCACCTCATGATTAATCGAATTGAATGCTTTCGACAAATCAAGAGAAACCAATGCACTAACTCGATTGAAATTACTGTGACATCTGATAGTGTCAGTTAAGTGTAAGAGTAATGATGTTGTGCTATGGCCCGCACGAAAAGCATATTGCTCATCAATAAATTTGCTCCTTGTACTCAAGAGAATTTGATTTTTCATTATATGTTCGCAAACTTTGGAAATAACTGGAAGAATTGAGATTGGCCGCAAATCATCAGCATCACGAACTGTGGAAACCTTAGGAATTGGTACAACGCGGGCAATCTTCCACGAAGTGGGAAATACTGATTTAGTCAAAATTATGTTAAACAAATCCAAAATCAGCCCTGACACATGCGGAAATATAAGTTTTAAAAATTCCACAGATATTTTATCAACTCCCACCGACTTGGATTTGATTTTACCTAGGGCAATAGCAATGTCATCAGTAGTAATACATGAGAAGGAAAAAGAATGGTCTTGATCATTAAAGGATTGCAAATTCAAATTACCATAGCTATTTGATAACCCACTTGAGGCAAAACAATTATTGACCGTTTCTGCATCAAGTCCACTCAATACGTTATCATCTCCAATGCAGCCATGATTTCGAAGAATTCTCCATAAACTTCTAGAGTCTACATTTTTAAAAGTTTTCATATAATAACTACGCCGCTTCTTTCGAATTACATTTTTCACCTTATTTCGATATATACAAAATATAGCCCAATTATACGGGGTTTGGTCTTCCAAATAAGCTCTATAAGATAAATCCCTTAAGTTTTTCGCTGCTAAAATGCTCCTCGAACTCATCCAATTATCGTCTTGTAATAAAATGCGCCTACGAACAACCGGAACATTTTTATACAGATTATCAATAAGCTCAGATAATATTGAGCATTTTTCATCAACATCATAAGTTACATTGAAGCTTGTATAGTTAAAGTTGGACAGACATTGAAAAACACCATCCCAATTTATATTCCTTAAGTCATGAAACTCTACCACTTCTTCAAACGAATTGATTTCAAGATCAATACATGCCACAATTAATGAATGGTGCGATATAGCAGGACATTGTACTTGGCAAGAATGATTTACAATTGAGCTATCACTAAAGAGCATGTAATCAATTAGTGAGGAACTCCGATGGGTCACATCAAAATGTGTGGGCTTAGAATTATGTAGGATACCTAAATTTAGTCGAAGGCACATAGACCTCATTAGTGAAGCACGTGAAATATTGAAAAGGTCGCAATTAAAGTCTCCAACCACTATAATATTGGTGTAAGTCAAAAATAAGTCGCGGTGCACATCTTCAAAGACAGACACGTCACCCACAGGAGGTAAATAAGCTACACCAAACAAAATTTTTGTAGCTCCGGAATAAAGTTCTATGAAAAGCGATTCACACTTCCCAGCAATGGAGGATTTAAATACTAATTTATGTCGAAGTTTTCTTGAAACATAAATCCCAACTCCCCCACCTCTGGAATATCTACGATCATTCCTATAAAATTTAAAGCCCAGCATATTCACCGCACAAGTTGAAACATCGGACTTCAACCACGTTTCAGTAATTCCAATAACATCCAAAAGTGAACCACACAGGATTGACTTCAATTCATTAAACTTAACGGAGTAAGTTGAAGGTCTCATACTCTGACAATTTATGTGACCTATTTTAAATTTATTGTCCCAAGGCTCCAACATTGATTTTATGGAAATGTCACTGCCAACTACAGATCCCATATTTAAGTCAAAATACATCATATATAAGTAACATAAATAAAGTGGGGAACCAACGAACAATCAAAATATTACCATAATAATCCATTCATACTTAATTGACAACTAATCAAATTTAATTAAAAAACAGATGCTTATATTTATTTTATATTAGATCATTTATCAAGATTCAGTCGGTGTCCCGACATAACATGCCCTACATCGCATTTTTTATTCATATTTCAATTCTTATTTTTTGGGATAATTTTAGAAATAGGGATAGTAAGCAGACAAACCAAAATGTATTTACAATATTATTTAACTTAAAACATTACGAAATTAAAGTGTATGACTTGACAAATGTAGTAAATGACGGACAAAAAGTATACGGACGGACGGACGGACTTACCGATGTAGGCCATATGTAATGTTCAATTTATCATAAAAAAGCTTTTATAGGAAGATATATAACTTCATTACAACTAATGTTCGTCCAAGGTAGAGCCGGCATTGATAAGAAGTAAGTTACATTGTTCAAGGCTACAAACATCATTCCTTCCATCCGGGAAAAACAGTTTTGCTTTGAGGCTGTCAGAATTGAATAATTTAAACTTGATAATACACCCCTTTCGAAGCAGTTTTCTACACGTTGAATTCAATCTTGCTGCAGCTGGTGAATAATGGTCGTTTAAGTACACACGTTTATTAATATCACTGCCCTGACCGCTCACAAGATCACAAATTTTAAGATTACGTGTTGCAAAATATTCTTTCATAATATCATCACGCACTTGCACCGAATTGAATTTAATCAGGACCAGGTTACGATTGTGCATATAACAAACATGATTTACTTCGTTCCTGGACAATGATATCTTAAAAATTGCAGCCAACTTTATCGCAATATCAGCAAGGTCTGTGATATTTCCAGGTAAACCGCTGACTAAAATATCTCCTCTGTTGAGCCTCCGGTACAAGACATTGTTCTCAAATTCCAATGACGTAATTCTCTTAGAATATGAAGAATCAATTTTATCGATACGCTGATTGCAATCAAGAATATCTTTTTTCATTTCATTCAAACAGGAGCTCATCTCAGTTTTAATTTCATCAAGTACTCGTTTA